TTGTGCATAGGATCGGGCAGCTTGGTCGAAAGGAGACGAAAAGGGATATATATAAATATTTACAGTATTGTGACTATATTCGCTCATGATGCTACATTCATTGCGGGCACAGAAAGATTAACCTACTTGTCATTGGTGTTACACATTGATAGTGGGCAGACGAAGAGCTGTTAATTGTTGTAATTGACATTGCACATCGAGACTGGGCGCAGGAAGGTTGACAAAAATATGCGTTTCGCCTAGGTCCCAGAGCAGTTTTTGAAACTTTGCACGGTATTTACAGTGTGTTCTAAAGGTTTTGACCTAGTGTGTGCTCTCCCGAGCACACCCGCTCTCAAGAAAAACTATGACTGGAGGCCCCAATTGTCCCATGCACTGTTCTGGGTCGATGGTCCTTGTTTGCGCCTCTGGAAAAACCGGTTCCGCGACCTTCGCGCGGAACTTGTCGAGGAACTCCTTCGCGCGGGGCTTCGGTGGAACCAACGTCTCCTTGGTGAGCTTTGCCTCCAAGGCGACCGCATCCGCGTCACCGGAAGAAGGATGAAGTCGAGTCACAAAGGATCCCAGACCATCGGACCGGAAGAGTGACGCCAGCGTAGATGGACCCATGATACGTGGGGTAGATGTATGATGTTGCATGTTTATTCCATGCATGGATGGCCGGGTAACCAAAAGGGATCCACCTGTGTTAGCCTCTGAGAAGTTTTGAAAGGGTGCTCTGTTTGTCGGTGATAGAAGGGTGCAGCTTATGTTTATGTTACATATGGACATCAGAGCGGTTGGATAAATGAAGAAGGCGATACCTGCCAGCAGTTGCAAAGGGATAGTCTATGGGTCTTAATGAAGCTTAGGGGATCCATTGTCCACTTACTGGATGTGACTAAACACCACCCCGAGCTCTGTGACTTTTGGTGAACCAGAAACCGAGGCGCCACGTGTGTCACGCTCGTGTCGCGTCACGCTCGCAGGTAGTTCACCGCTCGTGAACACCGCCCCACCTGGTCAACCCATCTCTGTGGATTCGGGTCGCATCTGGGTGTGTGATTTGGCAATTAGGCACAGGAGATCTCCTGTGCCTATCTCGTGTGTTTTTCTTGTGCAACAATCAGATCACCCAAATCCAAGTACTGTACATCACATGCCCATTGTTTGATTGATCCATCGCTTAACCAGATTATATAGGTTATTCAACCATGTGTGGGGAATGAACAAAGACAACAACAATAAACAAACAAACAAACAAACAAACAAACAAACAAACAACCAAACAACCAAACAACCAAACAACCAAACAACCAAACAACAACAACAAAGAACATCTCATATCCCACGGAAGGTCTGAGGCGCATCAGGTCCACGAAGCCACGTCGTTCGACCGAAGCCAAGCGGGATGACTGTAAGGAGGCCTTGCATTTGCAAGATGCACTCTGAATGCTTTTTAGGCAAAGACTCGGATTCTTCTGGGACCTGAACAATTTGTGACTTCTGTAGGGGTTCGAGAACCAATCCCTATACCAGGTTCACCGACCTCTTTTGGCTAAGGGAAGGCTTTTGCAGAGGCCAAGGTGACCCTTAGGAGTGTTCCTTTGTTTTGTGGGATACCCTGGTTTTGCCCATCAGGTGATTTTCATTTTCCCAGTTCTTGGGAGAAGTCCCTAACATGGTGAATATGTTACACTTTTTACTGGTGTCCTGGACAAATCCAAGGATCTGATCATGTCATGTTGAAGGTCCTGCCGGGGTGTTTTCTTTTTTCGGTGCAGACCGTGAAGAGGGCATGAGATTTCGGTGGTGATGCCCCTGGCTATCTCGGCTTCGGTGACAACGGCAGAGAAAGACGAAGCAGAGGAAAGAGACTCGCTGCTTCGAGGAAACCACTGAAAACATTCCTTGTAGTAGCTTCACAATATAGTCATAAGTTATTATATAAGATGTTATAGGACATAGGATCCCAGACCATCCATGTTTCCGAACATATGGAATAGTAACTTACAAGGATGGGTCATAAATTGGGATAGATGTATGATGATGCATGCAACTATTCAATACATTGCTGGTCTGGGAATGGACCTAGGGACGCACGGACAGTGGTGACAGGTTCGAATCATCGGGAGATTTCCCAGGCCTCGGGACTTGAAGATGTACATCGAGCCCGACCCCATTCCCTAGAATTCCAACCACCATGAACTCCGCACTTTTACCGTACTATGTACCGTTCAAAAGGACTACAAAGCCAGGTCAACGTCACATGGCGAGCCAGTCTCCAGGTCTCCACCGGTCCGGTCCCTCACAGGTCCGTGTGCTCACCGCGTACGCCGTGCTTCGCCCGCGGCGAGGACGCCAAGATTCTCCCGGAGCCCGACGCGCCGCTGCCGCTCAATGAGCAGCTGACCTTCTGGCCAGGCGGAGGCCGTCCATGCTGCGCTCGGGAGCGCGAGGGGGGGCGGGAGCGCAGGCTTCTTGTGCAGCGCGGCGCTGGAGTTTTCCAGACGAAAGACCAATTGAAAGCCCGGACATCCGGTGCCCTGCAAAGTACCTGAGAGAATAGGACGTGACCCGAAAAAAATAGGAGAACAAATCATCGCATTTGGACAACTTCCTGGCTCAGGGGTAGATGTCAGACATTGCCAGCCTTCAGTTTGACCATTAAAAGAGGTCGGTTGACCTGGTGCTGTAGTCTAAGTGAAAGAATGGTTGTTTTGTAAAACCGTAAAACCTTATCTTATATATACATCAATGAGGTTTGAATCGGGACATATCCTTACTAGAATTTGAATGCCAGCTCTAGAAACACACCAGAGTGCCATTGTGTAAACACAGAAATCAACCATGTTATTCTGGAAACAGTCAGTTTGCAAGGAAGATGCAGGTCTTGGACCCAGTTCAGAGCTGGACATTGGGGAAAGGGGAATTTGGCGCAAAGGTTGGTGGTATCCTTCATCGTCAGGTCGGGATCATTCTCCGGTCCGAGCAGTCTGGGTCGAGCCTTTAAACCGTTGGAATAGCTTAAGTCGACTTCAGGGAGGCAGGATGAGGCAGGAGCTGTGCAAGGGCTGTGAAGCATCCTTGTTTTTAATGGAATCTTTAGTAATTGTGATTATAGGGCTGAACAATACAAAACAGTAAAATTCTGATGTTTGAAATCTGATGCTTGATAACTCATAAATTCATGCCTGTTTAGATGTTTGGTATATATCATGATCTATAATGATTAAAATAGCAGGTCAACATGTGGGTGACACAATATCGCACATTGGTGACATTGTTCGCGGTATTTTTCAGTAATGAAGACACGTTGAGTCCACAAGGTCGGAGAACACTACAGATACAAGGCCTGCACGGCCTGCATCATGTACAGGTGCTACATGATTCAAGAGGGCTGGAGAACAGTAGATGCACCGTCCACAGACAGTACTGGGTACTTTGAGTTGGTCATTGACAGGATCTCTTCAAACACAACTCGGGATGTCCTGGTCTTAACCTGATAAGACCAGTGCCTACAAACAGTGGAGTTTGTCTCACTCTCACAGTGTCCTTTGGGCTGCCCTTCGCACAAACACTGTCTTCCCACCCGTTGGAGAAACCCATGGGACTGCAGCAGTCCGGACTGCAGTCCTGCCTACATGTCGGTGGCGTTGGCATGAACGATCGTGTATGTCTGAACGGGTCGGCCTCATGTCTCCCTGACGCCGACAGTCAGGGAGACATGCAAAACCCAGTCGACATCCATTTAAACAGGCGGTAGTTTCAGCTACGCCTGGGAAGATTAGCCTGGAACCTGAAAACCTGGAAGCTTTTTTTCTTCCAAAGGTCCATGCCATCAGTTTCCATGTGAGTCTCTTCCACGGGTGTATGCTTAAATGTTCAAGCTTTGCTTGATACCCACTGACGATGTTCTGCGCACGTGTCCACTGACGCCCCCGGCAGACCACGACCGCTCTGGGCGCGTCCAGGTGGTGAGCTGAACCACGAGGCGATGCCCGAGAGGAGTTTCGACCTGGTAGGCGACGGCGCCCGCGATCCGCAGCGACGCGATCGCAGTCGCTTCGGTCGCTGAAGCGGCGGCTTCAGCCGGTTTTAGAGCTGGGAGGAGGTTCTGCTACAGAGCTGAACTGAGCTGTTTCATCAGCTACTGTATTACCGAGTACCAATTCAAGGCTATTCAAGGTTTTGTTTAGATGTGGTGTTTGTCAAGGACAGATGCAACTTGACCTTGCGTACACAAAGGTAGATTGGATTCCAAAAGGCCAAGCACACACTCCAAAATATACAATGACCCCTCCACTAAAAACTTAATTGGAGGGGGGGTCCTTCGAATAAATATATGTTCATGATCAAGTTAATTTATTTGATCTCCGACATTTGTCCAACATTTCGGTAAAGACCTAAGTCGGAAAATAGAATATAGTTTAAACTAGTTTAAACGTAATTGGCATGCTCCCAGTATATTTTGGATCAGGCTAGGGTCCCGTCTACTTGAGAAATCATCAAGAGGTTGTGGAGAGGTTGCACACCCCTCTAAAAAAAGAACTCATCATGATGAGATTCGAAAGTTGTCCAAGCCCTTTTTGGTGCCTGATTCGACTTCGCTGCATATGTACGAGCGTTTGATCCACACTCAAAGCCAGGCAACAGACATGAATTCAGGGCGGGTTGGCCCCTGGAGGAGGGGTAGATGAATTAGTATGAATTAGTTGGCAAGCATAGGCCTGGGAAAGTGCAGGGGGGATGCATCACCATCCCCACAAGAACCAGGCAGGAAAGTAGCCACCAAGGAGGAGTTGCGAGATGTTTGGATATTACTGGATTGTGGGTTTGCTGCGACCTGGGGAGGGGACACACATTGAGGGGTTTGTGAGTAGTCGATGAGTTACGGCCCCCCCAAGCAGGGGTAGAGGTATCCTCGTTGAATTTCCACGAAACAGGCGGGGCCCCATCTAACGTAGGTACGGTCATAATATAATCAGATCCAAGACAAGACACACACTCCAAACCCTATAGGGCTCCAGTCATGCCTCCAGTCGTGCCTATCCGGTTTGGAGCTCTTTTTTCGGGCCAATCCACGCTTCGCATCGCCTGCGCATCGGCCGCTCGCATCGCAGTGAGGCAGCTTTTCGGACTGGCAGCCGGTGCCCATGCAGAAGGAGACCGGACCCGGGCGCAAAGAGATGGTCCCATGGGACTGCCATATTCTTGCCGCCCCATTGACCCTGGCACCACCCCAATGTAGGCATATATGGCATACATGGAGTGTTTGGGATGGGTAACTAAACAAGAACATTGGGATTTGTCATTTGGAACGTGCAAAAACCCTTAGCTGATCCCAAATGAAGGTATTGTGGGACAGCAGCTCATGTGCAACCGGACTGACCGCTGAAAAACCGATGAGCTTGTCAGGGTCGATGTTCTACATTCTCTTGCCACAATGAGCCGGTGGATCACTGGTCAATGGTCACCTGCAACACCTGCCAGACCTGCTGGTGCGACTTGTTCATCCTCTCATGGATCCGAGAAAAAGATTCTCAGGTACGTGCACGTGTTTGAAACGGTTACGTAGGTGCCGGCCGGGAATCGGTTCCGTTAAACGCAACCGAAGCTACGAAAACGGATCCCTAGAGCCAGTCCGGGGTATACGATGTACCCTATTGACTTATACCTGACCTATAGGTCCTCCCTAAGAATCCGGGCCCGAACCAACAGACAGGGTTTGGGAACCGGGTTCTTCAGACCCCTGCGTGAAACGGTGGAGCTCTGGTCCGACCCCTGTCATGGAGGGCCCGAGCTCGGATTGTTAGGTCCTATACATTGGTTCTTCGGAACAGCCGGAACCTGTGTCGGACCGTGCACATCGCCGGGTGAGCAGGACGTTCGGTCAGTTCGGTGTGAAGATCGTGAAAGCCGTGAGCCGGACCATGCAAGCAAATAGGAAGGAGATGGAATAACAAGCTGATTTTGTAGTCTGAAATCCGTAAGACATGTAAAAACCATGTACGTTTTGCAATTCGTATAACATCCTCGCCAGTATCCTGACCAATTTCCTTTCATCGGCCTGGTCGAAGTCACAGAAGCGCCTTAGTCGATATTCCTCGGGCGCTCAGAGACGGTCGAACAGGAGTCAGAGGGCATCTACAGCTACGTCTTGATCTTGGGAGAGAACAGGCCGTGTGCCGGTCGCGCGGCGGGCAGCGGCCGAAACGGCCGGGGATACTCCGTGATGGCGATGGACATCTATTTATATGAAGGAAAGGGACGACTTAAGGGACCCCTTTAGATTTACTGTACTCCAGTAACGGACCACATAGAAGCAACACCCAAACTCTCCATGTATGCTATATATGCCTACATTGGGGTGGTTTTGGGGGTCAATGTAGGCATATATGGCATACATGGAGTGTTTGGGACACATAGGCTTTGGGAACCGGGTACTTGTACCCCCTATGTTTTGGTGGTCCGACGCCATGGAAGCCCCGTCTGGATTCAATCGTAGGGTCATCTAAATCCATTCTCACAACTTTTCAGATTTTCCAAAGAGGTGGAGGCTGATCAGGCTCTCCGAGGAGTTGTCTGAGCATGAAGTCTTCAATGTCTGGGCGGCACCTGCCGTGGAAGGGATGGCACAAAACTGGATGGATGGAAGGGTTCCACGTGCATCCTTCCTATCCCAGAGAAGGCATATATCTGGAATATTGACCAATTGACCCCAGGTCAACCACCCCAACTGATCGGTAAATCTTCCAGTCCCATTATATGACGTCGTGTTTGGGATATGCTATCGAGACATGTTCTTTCGGAAACCGGCCGAGTTCCGTGGGGGGACACCGCCGATCCGACGCTGGTCACGCCACAGGTGGGAGGTCTTTCAGATTTGGCTGGATGGAGACCCTTACAGGCGGGCTTCGAGGGTTTAGGGTGGCGAATGATCTGAGGGTTATGTTGATTGTTCATTCCCAGACGCTCCCATGTATGCCATATATGCCTACATTGGGACCCCAAACCACCCCAATGTAGGCAAATATGACATACATGGAGCGTTTGGGCATTGGAAATGCATCAATTGATTGCGGAATCGGAGAAGAGTAGTATTAGTGGAGGGTTCTTCCTCGGGAGTCCACGGCTCGGGACTGTCCGGGTTGTCCCAGAAGATGCCTCATGGCTAGAGAGCCAAACGGGACATTGATATAATGTGACTGGTGGGACAGACTCAGATGCCAGTCCCAGAAAGACCCCTGAAACCAACCGCTGGAGTGTGAGTGTCATGCCTGCCTGCCTATCTATGGATGATGTTGGAGCATCCAGGAAGAGAGGTTTTGTAATGTTTTGTCCATCGTCACCATAGCTATCCTTCATGTAAATGTTCCCTGCTGCCCTAAGGATCCGCACCCGAACCAGCACCAAGGGTGGCAGGACACCATTGCCCTGTGATGGAGGGTGCGTCCCCTACAAATTATGGAGGCCCCAATGGCGATGGATCAACCTCCCATACGGAGATGATATTTTGACTATCCCAAATTGATTCCACACTTTTGGCCCCTGGCTATGAGGGTCTGCAATGGTCCAATCCCTTATGGTTGATGGTTCAAGGACGGTGATGACATGAACCATTCTTTTGGTATCACTCCCAAACACTCCATGTATGCCATATATGCCTACATTGGGGTGGTTTGAGGGGTCAATGTAGGCATATATGACAGACATGGAGTGTCTGGGACTCACTTCCCGGTGTCATGTCGCCTGTGAAACCGTTTCTTGTTACCCTCAAAATCCGAGCTTCGGGCCCGACATCTGAGGCGGGCACGACAAGGGGGGTGTGGACCCGAAGCAAAGCCTACTATGTGTTGGTTTTTGGGTGCCCTAATTCTTAGGGGCTGAGTTAAAGGATCTCAAGCCCATATATTGGTTCAACATGTTTGAAGGTGTATAAAGAAAATGGTGCAAAGGCACCGGGAAGCGCCAAGCACCGTCACCGGGATCCGTAGATTGGCAGAGCGAGGAGGACCACGTTGGCGTCGTCCCACGATTTGGTCTTCCAAAACCCGGACACTCCATGAGACTGGACTTCCGGGGGGCCCCACATGGCCCATCAAAAACCTGGTTTTTCCCCTAGCAAAAGACATGGTTTTTGTATGTGAAAACCTTAGTTTTTCATGGTTTTGAGGGCCCCTGGTAAGGAGTATGATTTGGACTGTCACTCTCATGATGACACTCCTCTGAATGGAGGGTAATAATGATCTTTTCCTTCCATTCAGATCAATATTCAGCAAAGATGGAAGTGGAAATCAGTGGAACATGGACCCTTGGAAGACTGTTTTCCTCTGCTTTCCAGGCCGCTTCCACTTCAAATCCAGTCTCGACTCGACTGGAGGGTGTTTGGGGACGCATCCATCCATGGACTGGGTCAACCATGAGTCAACCACCCTGGTCGGCCGTTGTGCCGGGAGTTGACGACTCGTCATCCATGTGCCCGGCTGTTCACCTCGGAAGGATGCCGGGTCTTGACGGATGCCGGTCGGGCGGAACGAACAGTCCTGGTCGCCGGCGTGAGGATCGCTTCGCCGTGATGGACCAGTTGCTGAAGTCATGTTGTGTTCCGTCGTGATGTTTGGATCTGGCCGAAGCTTCATCCACGGTTGTTTCACCTAAAATTGCCCCCATCAATGTTTGACCATTTTTGACCAATGGATCCACTTCCTACAGGTTTTACCGTTTTACCGGACCTTGCTTGGACCATGATCTACTTGGTCCGATAGGACTCCGATAGGACGCCTATGGACCTGATTTCTGTCAGAGTAAATCGGCGCACGCAAAAATCTGGGGTGAGATTTCGGAGTCCGCGTGGCGCGTGTCGTAGGTGCCTGTTCCCGGAGCAGCACAAGGCAGCCTCGAAGAGCCATGTGTTGGGTCCAGAGGCCAAAGCCACCAGCACCTTGGATGCCCAAAGACCGTTTTTGTTGTTCGATGTTTTTTGGAGGCCACTGGCAAGACCAACAGCTGAAGAAGTGCAAAAATACGTGTTTGCTTGTTTTGCTTCACCCTGGTGGTGATCTTGAGTGTTTTGGGAAAAGAAGGAGGGATGCCAATCTGAAGCTGCAGCTTGAGAAGGGACAACCTTTAGCGGACAATTACAACTAACACCATGGATCATCAAGGCTCAATTTGATATGATCATTTAATAATGATATATGTTTTTTAGTAACATGTACCGAAACATGTCCCTATTTCTACCTCTTTCCCCGAAAATCCACTGAAAACGTCGCTCTTCCGAAACCGAACCACGTCCGGACCGCCCGGACCTGCCGTTCGACCGAGGCTGCTGGTTGTTGGACGGACGACCTGAAGGCGAATTGCGGCTCCGGATCAAGGCGGACCCGTCCGCTGTTCGGGTGGCCGGTTCCAACGGGCGGTGCCCACCTGGTGACCGAGATCTGTTGGTGTTTGGGTTTCGAACGGATGGAGGCTGGCCAGCGCGTTTTGGGTGGGTTCCTGAAGCTTTCCTTATAGAATGAGTTGCCAGAATGCGGGGGTGTGGTTTGCTCAAGCATTTGATTAAGAAGAGTGCGCATTTAGAATTGGACATCGTGACATCCTCTTCACATATGAGGGGTTTATCAAAAAGAGTCGAGGCGTCTATACATTGATTGTTATAGTTGATCTTAGCTGATGCTACTGGTGGTTGTTTGTCGTGGTGTTGCTTGGAATGACCTCCAGTTGGAGACCAGCGAAGCACCTACGGCACAAAGACATCTTCTACTTGGGAACCTTGTCTTTCGTTGCCAAACTCAGCTTTTGGAAGCCAACTGAGATACATGAACATTCCAGAACATCCCAGAACATGGCGAATTCTGTAGTTTCATCAAAACTGTGACTATATAGAACCTGGGGGATTCTCCTGGATTCTATGCTGAACCTGGTCCCGGACTCTGACCAACCGCCACGGCGTGCCAGGGCTCGGTCGCGGGCCGCACAGCGGAGGGCCGCGGTCGCGTGGGCTCACGCTGGCGAGTCCGGCTGCAGATGCGGGGGTCGCTGGGCCGAGACGAAGGATTAGAGGCGAGGGAAGCGAGGCCAGGCGAGAAGAGTTTGGTTTCAGCATCAGTGGGAGCATGGTGCCCTGTTCTCTGAAATCGCTAATATCCCTCCTAATTCCTCCTTGCATCTCCTTTCAGATTGGTTCCCAAATGTTCCCCACATTGTTGTTAGATTTTATGTCAGCTGCCGTCCTCCTCCTCCTCCTCCTCTCCTCCTTTGCCTCGTCCTCCTCCTCCTCCAGACCTCATCCGCAAGTGCAGGATGGCAGTGTCCCCGCCGGACCTCAACTGCGAGGGTCGCGTGGCAGTGTTCCCCGCCGCCGGACCTCAACCGCGAGCTTCGGCTGGCAGTGTTCCCCGCCGGACCTCAACCGCGAGTCAAAAGATATGCCAGATAGAACGCCAGAAAGGATGTCAGAAAGAATGTCTGAAGATATGCCAGAAAGAATCTCAGTCAGAATATCAGAAGATTTGCCAGATAGAATGCAAGATTGAGTGTCAGAAGAGATGCCAGAAAGAATATCAGACAGAATGTCAGCAGATATGCCAGAAAGAATGTCAGAAGATATGCCAGAAAGAATGCCATCAAATGTTTCAGCAAAAAAAATGTCAACTTGAAATGTCATGGTGGGGATCACTCGGAGTAAAGTATTTCTAAATGTTGGCTATGATTTTTTGCTGATTCATACGAGCTTACGGAGTTTGCTCGGACAGGACAGAGCCTTTGTTTGTCTTGTCCGCCCTCCGCAAACACCTGACCGACCACAGCATCAGGGTGGGCATCTTCCGCAGCACGCAGGCAGTCTGTGAAGAAGTGTGCCATGAGCATCTGCCAGCCCCCAAGGGCAACCAGCCAAGGGAGACGCATCATTTGGACGACCGTCTCCAAGCCAAGCCTCTTGGCACTGTCTGGTGCGACTAGTAGAGCATTACGCTGGGCTATGAGGCTGGCCAGCACCTCGCTATAGCATTCGCTAGCATTCCGGCGAGAAACTCGCACTCGGCCGCTGCTGGAAATCACATGCTTCCTTGCTCACAAGGCCGGTAGCACAGATTACGCCTACGCGCGCCCTGCAGGCGCGTGTGTTTTTTCTTTCGGCGCTCTGCGCGGCTGGTTTTATATTCACTTTTAACTTTCATGGCAGGGCTCCGTTCTTCAGGCCAGCTCAACTCAGAACTGATCGAAGAAAGGTTGAGCACAGAGCCCCGTGCCCTCGCGCTCATAAATGACCCAAGTGTCTTCTCCGCGGAGCGCTCTGGCACCTCGAAAGGTTGGGGCATTAATGTTGACTCTTGAGTACTCAACCCCCCCTCAACAACCAAGACCTCTATATTTATTTTGTGTGAACAATGATTAACTATAACTCATAAGAACAGCTTGAGCTACCTCTGGCAATACTTTAATAGGAACAAAAAAAAGCTTAACGTTGAAGACATTTGGAATAAGAACCTTATCCCAGCAAGATACCCCAAACAGTGTGTGTGAGGTCTATAGAGGTGTAGCAGCAGAAAGTCCAGAGATCTGCGCGTGTTGTGGTGCAGAGAGGTGATGGTGGACATGAAGGTGGAGATCGTGGTCCGTGGTGATGGTGGTGGTGGTGATGATGCTGGGTCACATCTGCGAGCATGCCGGGCTAAGCGCAGACTGCTCCACATTCGCGCTTCAGACAGTGCTGCGCCTGCCTTGACATCTGCACTTCGAGGTTCGCAAAGTGCTGCGCCTGCCACGAAATCTGCACTTCGAGCTTCACAAATAAGTGTGCTGTGCCTGCCACGAGCTCTGCACTTTGAGGTTGACAAAGTGCTGCGCCTGCTACGAACTCTGCACTTTGAGGTTTACAAAGTGCTGCGCCTGCCACGAAATCTTCGCTTTGAGGTTCACAAAGTGCTACGCTTGCCACGATTTCTGAGCCACATGTCCAAAAGCCACGATGCATTGCACCTGCAGTCACGAAATCAGAGCACGTCGAAAATTACCACCGCGTCAAAACTAGTGCTGCACCTGCCACGAAATCGAAGTAAAGCTGATCCGATCCCTTGCGCCTGTCACGAATTTTCAGTGTTTTGTAAACAGCGAATTGGCCGGACGCCCCGATGCCGATGCAACACCTTGATTCAACACCAGCCCTTGACCCCTACCGTAAGAACTCCTATAGTGTGTCCACACTGTTTGGGGAATGAAAAGGAATCAATGAAACCTCAGGTTGCAGATGTAGTATTACAATAGTGGAGACAGGGTGCTGGTGCCGGGTGCCGGTGCTAGTGCTGGGTCGCTGGGTGCCGGGTGCCGGTGCTGGTGCTGGTGTGAGCTGGCTGTGCACGTGGTGGAGACAGGTTGCTGGTGCTGGGCGCCGGGCGCCGGTGCTGGTGCTGTGAGCTGGCTGCGCACGTGGTGGAGACAGGTTGCTGGTGCTGGTGCTGGTGCCACGTGCCGGTGCTGGTGCTGGGTGCCGGTGCTGGTGCTGTATAGTGAGGGGGATCTTTTTCCCAGATAGCGAAGCTATGGGGTTCTTACTTCAAATGACAATGAGCTGCCTGCGTGCGCTTAGAGACAGGTTGCCGGTGCTGGTGCTGGTGCTGTGAGCTGGCTGCACGCGTGGTGGAGACACGGTGCCGGTGCTGGGTGCTGGCAGTGCGCGTGGTAGAGACAGCGGGCGCCGGTGCCGGCGCTGTGCCAGCGCGTGTTGTGGAGAGTGGGCGCCGGCGCTGGGCGCAGGCTGTGCCCGTGGTGGAGACAGGGTGCTGGGCCCTGGGTGCCGGGTGCTGGTGCTGTGTGCTGGGTATACCGGCACTGGGTGCTGGTGCTTGGCGCCATGAGCTGGCGTGCCGGTGCTCGGTGCTGGTGCCTGCTTCCTTCTGACAGTGAAGGGTAACAAACCGCCGCTTGCAGCTGTGAAGGGTAACCAAGCGCCACTTCTGAATGCTCTTGTACTGACCCTTTCAGAAACAGTCTTATTGCCATCCATGCCCTTCCCGTCCGCCACTAGGGCGGAGACCACCGCCACTCGGTTGGAGGTTTTGTCCTTTTCTTTTGTTTCCTGTAGTCTTTTTCCCTGGTAAGCGGGTGTTACGTAACAATGCAGGACTTCCCTATTTCCATGAATCCATTTGGTTTTGGCGCCACGCATAAGGGGAGAAACTGCGCGCATACGACACGAGAGTGGCCGCATACGAAAAAGAACCTGCCGCATTTGAGAAGGAACCTGACGCAAAAAAACAACACCCATCCTGCAGCATATGGAAAAGAATTGTGAGCATAAAGAAAAAACTATTCCCATTGTTTTATATTTTGAAAACAAGCTCTCTCCAGTTAGATTGTTTGTATACGGTTCGTGTTATTCTTATTAACTATTAGTCTAGTGTGTTGTTTCCAGATCAAATTGCATGCGCGTTTGGTGCTGTTATGTTTGCTCAACAACTTATTGGGCTATAACTTATTCACATGAGTCGACTATTGTGAAGTGAACATTCCAAAAAGGGATCGATGCCCATCTCCATTTATTTGAAGCATCATGTCTGAATCGGACACCCAAACACTTCGGACGCCCGCCCCACAGAAGAACACGCACCTTGCCACCAAGGAAGTGGCGTATGGTGGCACGGGCGCCCAGTGGATCACAGAAAGGTGTGCCCGGCGAAGAGAGGTCAATCACCAGCTGTATAAGTGTGGGTGTTGTGGTCTCGAATCCTTCGTAAAACAGCTCGGTTGTTGGGTAAACACTATTCAATCAACTTAAATCCTTACCCAGACCATCCATGCAACTGGACTATTTACCATCCCATTCACCCCCCAAAAACCCACCACGCCTGGCCTTTTCTCCGCAAAGATGGTAGTCCCAGACAGGTCGTATTTGGGATATGTCTCAACAGCTTGGTTCTTCGGGATTCTCCCATGAAATCATGTTTCTTCGGGCGGTTCTTCGGGTGGCCTTTTTGGGGTTTTGGGGTTCGGACGATTTGCAAAAGCTGTATCTCATGATTTGACTCCCAGTCCTAGCATTCAAAGACCATTTTGAAGCTGGTTGACGTGGTGTTGTAGTGTCAAATCCTGAGTAAGACATGTACAACAACGGTTGGGACCGGGATTGAACCTATGAAAGGAATATATTGGGCCAGGAATTTCTATAGGTTAGTACTTCTTGATTCCGACGCCTGGAGTGCATGATGTCATGGGCCCCCGTGAGAGCATGGCCCTGGGCCCCCCATTCCGCTCCGATGAAAATCCGGGTGTGGCGGGAAGGGTGATGTTTGTTGTTTCCTGGTCTATCCAAGTCTATTATTAGGTGTTTTTTTCCTGGGGAGATAGATAAACTCGGTCACAGATTTGTCATTTACAGACCAACACCCCTGTGGTCCTGTAGCAAGCTGAAGGCTTCAGGATGCTTTAGGGCAAGGTGGTGGACGACCGAGACATTTCGCAGACCGTATCAGACTGCCTACCTCTTTGTGGAATTGGCTTCCGCACTAAATAAGAACAGGTAGACATGGACTTGGACATGGTTCATATGGTTCATCCTGATTTTTTTCGAAAATATACGGGAGACAGACTGTCAGACTGGGAGCACACTGGAGTCAGGTCCAAAACCGATGCAGAGTCGGAAGAAATTGGCCAGTGAAGAGTCTGATTGGTCCGTGTCTCCAGAAAGGTGGAATCGAGGTGTGTTTTCGGGCTCGGGAAAAAACAGGTTACTGTACGTAGTGCATTCCAGAATGAGATGCAGCCTCACAAGTCAGAAGTTTGCCCTGAAGGTTTGCCTCCTAAATCAGTTGTTTGACAGATAAGCAGAATGCGGTTTTCTGCATCCCAACTCATGTTTTCTGCATCTCTACCCATTAAAACGATGTGTTTTCTCATGATGTTTACAGAGAGGTAGTTAAGTCGCGCCCGACTCCAGGCGGGACCTTCGTCAGGGGTCCGAGGGTCCGATGGTCGGAACCCATCCCTTTGAGGGACCGGGACAGGGGGGTTCGCCCTTGGCCCTCAAGGAGACTCGTGCTTAGGAATGAGGGAATGAACCACCCCTGTAGACCCCTCAGGATCCAGTCCCATATTCCCTACGAGTCGCGCCAGTCAGTTAAGGAGAAGAGAATCTTCGTTTGATCCATCCATCATCATCCCAAGGACTGGGAGAGACTCAATGAGCCCTTGGCGTCCAAGGCGGGGAATTGAGAGAATCACCGGATGGGACAGTGTGATCCATGTGTGGATGACCTGGCCTCGCTGTGGCCTGGAATATGTCTTGAAGGTTTGTCATGGTTTGTCTTGTTCAATTGATGGCTCTTTGAAGGTATAGTCAATTTTCTTTATTGAGCCCAAGCAGACACGTTCAAGTGGGTGCTAAATCCGGAGGACATCCCAAACTCACCCCTGAAGTTGAGCTTCTGACAATAACCACGCTCGTGACAGTGACAGTCCTATGTATGTCATTTCAGCGGAGTTCCCAATTCAGACACCATCAGTCCACCCAGACTTACCAAGAGAGATTCTTACTGGGGTACATACCAGGGGCCGGGCCCCACATGGCCCGTCAAACACCTGGTTTTCCCTAGCAAAACACATGGCTTTTGTATGTGACAACTGTGAGCACCTTGTGTTTGTTCATGGTTTTGAGGCCCCTGGTATGGTCTACATATATGTATATATAGTCCAATGGGTCCTTCAACCTCTGTTGGCACCCATGAGGTGGTATGGTGGATTCACGGTCCGTGGCTAGGCCCCGCACCGCCGCCCGCCCCTTTGGAGCGAATCAACATCGAAACGCTTCACGTCTTCGCCATGAGTAATTCCCAAACGGAACCACTGAAAGACCTGCATGGAAGACTGGGAAAAGCTCTTCGACATGGAGGCTGATGCGTGCGGACTTGTTGAAGTCGCAGAATCCGCAGAATCCGTGCAAAACCTCCTTGAGTCGGGTGTGACCCGCAGGGCGGGTTCAAATGAAACGACATGAAACAACAGCCTTCCTGGTGTTGACATCAATCTCAAGTCAATCGAATCCACACTGCCCTGTCACGCATCGTGCCGGCTGCCTTTAGTGTCCGAGGAAGAGCTTCCATTGTCCAGCTACTTTGTCACCGCCGACTTCAACGGTTGGGGTCTAGCATCTTGGTGATTGATCATGTCCGTATGGTTTGGCCAAGACTTTGACCTTAGAATCCATTTCCGTAGCCAAAGACGGGACCCGCTGGTCGCAAACGTGCTATGAATGAGCAAAGTTCTAAAATGTGCTACATGTCAGCGCTCAAGTTTGATCAACAAAAATACATATATATATATAATGATATTCCTTAAACAACGATATCAAAATCCCCAAACGATACCTAAGACCTAGCCTTGTGACGGTACACATCTTGGAATCTATTTTTACCCTGCTGACACTCGACACAGCGTATAGCATATGTCCAAGTGCTTTTTTGTTCATATGGTTTGCCACCATTGGTTTTGCTCATTTTCCCATCTCTTTCTTCGATGGGACACAATTATGGGTTTAGACCGATACCAAAACGATACCCACTTCATAGGTCTGTATGCCCTCGGAAACCAGCTATAGTGCTACATGCTACTACTACTACTGCCACTACTTCTACTTCTGCTACTACTACTACCACCACGACTACTACTACTACTTCTTCTACTACTTCTTCTTCTACTACTACTATTGAAAAGTGTTGAGTTATTCCCTACATCTAAACAAAAATAAGGATGTGGGATTCATGTGTTCAAAGTTTGCCGTCCCACTCGCCCACCAAAAGGATTTCGCTTGCACGACCCAAAGGCCCGAAACCGGTCGTTGCTGGTGGTGGTTTCCACACGCCCGGGTGCAGGAAGTGTTGTGAAAGCCTCCATGATGTCCCAGCCTGTTTCCTCGGGATGCCAAGTAAAGTTTAAAACATTTTATCTTATAAAAGAATGATGCCCGACTCGTCGTGTTACGGTAAACTGAGTACGTTTGTTTCTCTCTAGCGATAGTCGGGTATTCGGATTCTGTCAAATGTCCTTGAATGTAAAAAGTCGTTGGCCCTTCGGGCCGTTCGTCATGTGTCGGTCCGCGTAACTCCGAGCGTCGGTCGTTGACCACCGGCCCTCACGGTTCGGGATGCCGAAGAGGTGGAACTGTTCTGGAAGTCGTGCGTGAAGGGACTTCCACCGGGAAACGGCTCGGGAATCCGGCCAGGTATGGCCAGGTGATAGGAGTGGATTCGGTAAGTGATAGGAGTGCTACTCGATGCAGCGTTCATGTTTCCCGATCAGTCAGGGATGGTGATTGAAGGGGTCTATGTGGACACATCTTCCAGTCCCATTCAGCGTTTGTGTCGATGGCTGCCAAGGAGATCAGTTGGACCAGAACCGTCGCATACCGCATACTGTGAACCCGCACACGGGCTGATTCAAGTGGTTTCAAACACGATCCAACATGAACCACGGGATGATGACACATGGATGTTGCTCTTGCCCAAAACAGCCAGTGTCACAGCTTTCATATAAGGAGCCTGCGCTTTCCGCAAGTATAGACCATGTACTTTTCATCTCAGTTCTGCTTGGTTCTTCATCCCTGCTACAGAAGGACCAACAAACAACATCACTCCAAGGGCGAGACCACCTGTTTGTTTTCTCCAAAGGCATTTGGTTTTGTCCTCTTCAGCGAACCATCCCAAGGGCTCCTGGCCCACCTCCTGAGGTTCGGTGGTTTGGGTGTACTTTTTGGGGGGTCTAACCGTCTAACCACCGAACCTGAGGATATGTTTGGAGCCATAACCAAGTCATCCGTCTTGGGCATGGACCCAGGAGCAGATGCAGCTGCAGGAGGATGGCAGCTGGCGCTTGGAAGTCCACCTGATACGTCCAGGCGGAATTGGGCGAAGAGGAAGAAGGGCGGAGAGTTGGCACAAACCAACGGTTCTTCAGCACCCGACTGTTCGACTATTCGAGTTGGGTACCCCAGCTGATGGGTCCTAGTTGCCGTCACAAAAAAACTCTGTTGGAATGGCATCATATCAGTGCAGACCGCACACACTGAGAAGAGTGATTGGGTGGAAAAGCTCAGAACGATGTCGAGCAGCTCAGAACCTCCGGTGTGGTCCACATTCCTTTGTGGTAAACGTATGCATGCGACACCGTCGCCCGCTTTTGCCATCCATTTTGCGTGTTGATAGCAGGTACACACCGTACACTAGAAGCACAACATTTGTAATGACGTGCAATGCCATGAGGCTTAGTTTGAGTAGGTACCTATAGAGAGGTTGCGCAGCCCCTTTTGGGCTATCCCATATGTACCACTGAACTGGGTCCCAGTTCAGGTCTCTCAACCTCTCTTGGTAGTTCTTATTGCCACCGAAATGATGGTGGATCGAAGGTCGAGATGAGCCAACGTGTGAGCCAACATCAGGTCAAAAGAACGGCGACCAGCTTACAAAAAGAATCCCTATAGAGGTCCAACATGATCCAACGATTCCGTACCACCTAATTCTTTACCAGTAAGGATTTCTTGTGATATGACCAACTTCAGTCTAATGAGCTCCATTTTTCACCCATGCGGGTGCTCGCCTCCTCGCCTCGCCTCCTCATCCGTCGTCCGTTGGGTCGCTCCGGCCGAGGCGGGAGCTTCCAGATCCTGCGGAACCGCGATCCGGATCAGACGATGCACCACGGAGAGAAGAGAGGTTAAGTGACCTTAAATGGGACCCATCACCTGGGGTACCTATAGTCTATAGGGTTCTTCAACCTTTGCTGGGAGAAAAGACCGGAAACGTCTGAGAACCCGAGCGGTGTGTGGGCAAAGACAGACGAGAAGGGAGGAGGGAGAGAGGAACGCGGTGTGGAGAGAGCGGTGTGTTGGTTTCGTTTTGGTTGGTGGGGTTTGGGCCGAGATCGCGGAGAGGGTTGGTTTGCGCTTGAGGAGCTGAGGTGTTTTTTGTTGGATTTGTTGCTATATGAAGCAATTCTAGGTTTTCAGGGAACATGAGGGAACAATGGCTGTGAATGGAGCCTTTGTGGTTGTTCTTCTTCAGTGCATGGACCAACAAGGCCAAGCAAAGTGTTTTGTGAATTGATGGTATGAGGATGTATGAGGTATGAGTCGATGTTTGCATCATGGTTTTTGATGGTTTTCCTTGAAGAACATCACGTTCCATATCATATGGGTATATCTTCCTGTGTGTGTGTGTGTGTCTACATGGACCAGTTCTTCACCTCTTCTCACTGGGAGACGCTGAAGGGTTCCTCGACGTCTCTTCCTCTGGGGGTTCCTCGCGAATCAGGCGAGTCAAGGACTGTATTGCACATGTCATACAACGAACATATATACACAAAGAGTCTTTGGGAGCTAGGGATCCGAAGACTTCTAATCAGGGCAGCTACTCGGACCCTCCGTACCGAGGTACCAGATTCAAGCATATAGAAAAAGGGTCCTATCTGGTACGGTATTGCCTGCACCGGCACCAGTCGCACCGGTACAGATACTCGGGGACTAAAAGTCCGATGTCGGGCTTTTGATGGAGGGCCCCCGGGTTCTGAGGGTGTTTTTGTTGGTATATGTTTATGTATACTTTGGGCCTATGTAACAGTCAGTAAACAATTATCACCATTTTAGATATTTTAGAGAAATGCCTTTACTAACTAACAATAATCATCCGCTGTTACTGGTTCTAGGATAGACCCAATGTATACTGATTGCTTGGACACATGTTCCTAAAAAGCTTATTTCCATGTACATGATGGTGACTCATGCGCAATGCAGTTTGCGGGTCACTGTTACCTGTGCTCTGTGATGTTGTCCGATGTCTTCTTTGGATCCACAATCAGTTGGACCAGGGAATGCAATCCAACCAACCAGTGTCAAGAACACGCGAAAAACATGAAGAGCGCACTATGGTACCATAACATGTGGCCACTGACCAAAAAAACATCCGCATCCTCTCACCGCTTTCCCAGGTATCCGGTAGAGGGGGAGCCAAGAGGTCCCGATGACCTTAGCGAGGGCCGATGCTGGACCATGAAGGTGGCTGTGCCGGGGCACTGACACCTGGGGCACATGGGGCTGGAGCGGTGGAACTAACAGCGGCCGTTGGGCGCGGTTCGGTGAAAGGCTCTTCCAACGGTTGGCGGAATCCCGAACAGCATCAAACAGCCATGGTAGTGATAAAGCAAGGAGTTTACACACAAGATGATGTCGGTGGCTTGTCTAAAGCGAGTGCAAGAAGGGTACAAACCCGGAGGTGGGTGGACAAATGAGCAGGCAAAAGATTGGCTTCTATTTTCCCAAGAAACTGAGGATGTCAGGGTGAACAGTCACAAGGAAGGACTCTATGATTTGTATTTTTTTGTTCGTGCTTCCACTGAACCACTGTGTCTTGAAGCAGTGGAGGCCTTCAGAGCATCATGGCCTTCGTGGTCACCCTTGTGTGCAATCTTCACTGTGTCACCCTGGGTTTCGGCTCATTCAGACTGCGACTCGTCACCCCTGACTTTGGTGAAACAGATTGACTCATCCACTGCGAAGTTCGGTGAAACCGATGTACGGTGTTTCCAGCATCTGGCCATCTGGCTTCATCCTGCCATTCGTTGCTATCCAGCGTAAGACGTCGCAGTAGGTAGATCGTAGACTCATGGATTTACACAAAAGACAGTAGGGTGTCGGACTGTCGCCACTGCGCAAACAGCTGGACAATGGTGATGCTTGGGAATCAACTGGAAGTTGCACCTGACTTGATGTTCTTGCCAACTACGTACTCCCTCGTGTAAATGGAGTGCTGAATAGGTCCTCAAATGAAAAAGAACACATTCCGTTTTCTATCTATCAGTGAGGAGGACACTGTTCTGCTCCATGATCCGCGATGCTTTGGCATAGGAATAGCAACAAACAGCAACCTGCTTGTCCAGATTTGTGCTGTTTGGTCCCTTAGCCAGGTCACCAGAAACTTCCGTCAACCCGTTTGGAACAATCCGCATGAGCTGTAGTCAAACCTGGGAATGACTGGCGAACGGTCCTGTTGACACGGGCAGTAGTCGGGCAGTGAAGCGAGGAGTACAACTCTCTTGGCCCCTTTCGTTCGCAGCGTGACCCGCCTCCCTCCCGAAGCGGCGCGATCTTTAAGTCTTCGCACCCAGCTTCTCCATACTCATCTCTTTGCAAGCGGCCTAACCAGGAAAAGTACGTAGAGATCACCTTAATTGACATGACATGTTGTTTGGGGGGGGAATTGGGGTGTCCGACACCCCCCCATGACGACGACGCTCATATCATGAACAGATGGTATGAAAAGGGGTTTTGGGCGTCCAAAAAGGGATGACACGACACGCTCCTTGGTTCGATACGGGGGAGAGGTCCCAGGGGTTCGTCAGAGTTCTACCCAGCACCCGGTTCCGACCCCAGCACGGTCACCTGTTCCTTCGCAGCACCCACCTGTACCCATTCGTAGCACCACACAGCTGGAAGGAACGGAAACATCTGTTGACCAGCGCTGAGCACGGCCTCTTCTTGTCTTAGTAAAACAATGGACCGCCTTACATGGAAGAAAAGGAGATAAAAGGAGTAAGGAAATAACCTGACCGGAATGGGATAAGGTCAGAATCGGTTTTGAACTGGTTCCAACCACTCCCAGAGCTGCAGTAGTACCCTCATATAGACAATGGAAAAAAAACAGAGAATCACATTCTGTAAGGTCTCTTTGAGTTTCGCGCATGAAAGAACCCAGCTGAACCCAGCTGCGAGTTCGTCGGCCAGATCAAGATCAGGCTTCAGTCGGCCACCGTGATATTCACTCCACCTCAATGACTTAGTAACACATTCCTGGACCTCAGTCATCAGCAAAACCAATGTTGACAGGCTTCATCACACCTCTAGCACAAACCTTACTTACACTTCACATTTACTGTCTAACAACCGCACTATAGCACAACAATTTTGTGCACACTGTGGAGCCTTCAAGGCAGTCATTCGACCATAGGAATACTCTTGGACAAGGAAGTCACTATAAGGCTATAAAGAGTCCTTTCATGCATGGCAGCAAAAACAAACTTTCGACAAACAATGCAATGTTCATCAACGTTCTATTGTACTGGATACAAAGATCTGAATCTAGCTGAATCACAGTTTGTGTGAATTATGCATGCAAACATGCCGGGAAATTGGTGAAATTGCCCTCTCCTCCAACCGTTTGGACTTTTGCTGTTGGATGTAGGGTTGTCCTTTATGCACAGGTTCCTGGGTCCTGGCTTATCCAACGCAATCCCAAACTCCCAAACTAGGCACAAGAGAACACAAATTGAAAACGAGGGCATGAGCTTTATGAAACATTGCAGATGTCAGCCGTAGAAGCCTCTAAAATTCGCAAATGAGGAGCTTGGGAAGGATGAGGTGCCTCCCAAACGTATTTGAGCACTTGGCATTCGATGCATCATACTGTATGGTGCTTGTGTGATGTTTTTGCTACCCTGTGACTGTTGAGGAACACGGCTTGAAGCAACCTGCAACAAATTGATGATCCTGAACAATGAACCTTTCTATATGGTATCTTCTAGCATGACCCCTATACAGCCTGTGCTGCCAATCGTTGTTTGAAGCGCACACCTGCAACAAAGAACAAGCGAGGGAGCAGAGAGTGACACTCAAGATATCAAGGTTCAACGGTTCAACATTTCTTTGTTGGATTGCGAGGTCATCATATGGGTGTGTATTAAAACGAGGAGACCTCCCAGGCAACGACACCCTAAAAGAAAAGAAATGGACCAGTCTGCCCAGCCTTCCGGCCCGGGGGGGTCCCTATGAAAATAATTGAAAATACACACCCATTTGGCGTTTTTGTGTACATGACCCCCTAGGGATCCAGATGTACCTTCTCAGAAGGTACGACTGGACCCTCCAAACCTACATGACAGTGTCTCCAATCACCTTCTCAGAGGGTATGTGGATCCCTGGGCAACATCACATCAATCCTGTACCTGTCATCACTGCAGTTCCGGCGCCCCCAGGAATCGCGCACGTGTTCGTTCACGATTCCGAACACTGCACGAACGGATGGGTCTAAAAGCCGTGGAGAACTGCCAAGCGTTGGCATCACCAAATCAGACTCCGAATTGCTTCCGTTGTGGTTTCAGCCGCCCACATCCGGTTGAAGTGGATTGGGCGACCGTTCCACCCGAACCGACCTGATTCCTTCTCCTTCCCGTTCGGGGCCGTTCCGCATCCCAACGACGGGCCGACCGCCTGCGGCCCGTCGCTCCGTGGCCAGGGGTCGCCGAAGGAGCTCTTCAGCATCACCCTGCGGCGCCAGGTGTCAGACGGCTTGGAGACACGGCACCTGGGACGTCAAGTGGAGGTTTGAACGAGGTTTGGGGAGGAACCCACCCGAGGGTTGGGCCTGCAGTGCTGCAGGAAACCATGTGGTTCATGTTGCGAGGTTGTTTCTTTTTGGGGGGGGTCTCATCTCCAGTCAAACATCGTCAGACCCTGCAAGAGTTGATAGGTAGCTGAAGTTGCACCGGAAACGCCAGTTGGATGGTGCAGGGATAGTTTCGGGTGAACGCCGAGGTTCGTATGAAGACCCAGTCGAGATGAAATTTATAGCGCTATTTTTGGATGTATGGAGATGATGTGTGTATGTGTATGTCAAGGAGGCCTCCTCGACAATGTCTTCGTTTTGGTCTATTACGATGTTTTACATGTTGTTCCATACTTTTTGTTCTACCTGGACCATCTTGTTTGATCCTGTTTGCTGGCTGGAGATTCTGGACACGAGTGGTTTTGGTAGTCCAGCCAGGACACCCAGGTCCGTAGAATTAAAGGTTTGAATCCCGAGCAACCATTGTTTTACTGTGCAACAGATCTTAGACTACAAAACCAGGCCAACCGACCTTAAAAAATATATTGTTTTAATTATCGAATGGAAGGCGAATGGATATATAGACTGAACGTCCCCCCTTGATGCGTGTCTCGCAGCTCCCCCCAAGTTCGAACGTCATGGTGTTCAGCGAAACCACCCGGACGTTCATCCGACCACCCTGAAAAAAAATGGTGAACAAACAAACACCTGCCTAAAGATCCAAACACCCACAAACAAGCTGATATTGCCCCAAACAACCACTTCCTATCTGAAGGGAGGGCCTCAGTTGCCATATTGCACAAACATGCACCAGCCATTTGTTTCCGACTGTTTAGGTTTCCAGAGCGGAGCAATACGACTTGAAGGATTTCGTTATTTAGCCCCCCTTCATCAAAAGAACACCAGCGCCCAACCACAACGCGGACCGGCCAGTACTCCCAGGCCGCCTGACAAAAAATGACGACGCAATGCAAACCAAGGACAAGAATGCGATAGAATGCGGACCAGGGTGGAATCGAATCACCAAAGTCAATGTGCGAATCTCTGCAGAAGCAAAGACAGACAACACCTCCTCTAGTGGGCAGCTGGTCCACTGATATAGTATAAAATATCCCGACTCCGTCGAGCTAAGGAGCAGGCAAATGAGCAGTAGAAACCGTAAGAGCACCCACACACCCACCACACGGCGTGGGATAAAATGCGTTTGGACCCACCAGCGCCCTCCGCCTGGTGGAGATGGAAGTCCACAGGTCGACGACCTTGAAGCCCAGCGCGGCACAGTTTGAAGGGGGGGGTGCTCCGACTTTGGAGAAACCGGTTGCCGACCAAAGAGCAGGATGCCACAATCCGCTCGGATCTCCTGCTCTTCTTGTGCATCCCCATCAGGTTTCTAGGTTCAAGTCCCAAGTGGTGGTTTATATGGGGACTGGCCAAGAGCAGTCTTGGGGATTTGAGCCAAGAGTTCTGATGGGGATGGGGGTAAATGTTTGGTGAATCCTGCGGCTTGCCAGAACGCCGTGCCCGACTGGCAGATGTGTTACTTGGAGTACCTGGTACTCGATGGTTGGGAGCAGGTAGATCAGCGGATATCATGAGGAGGGTAGAATCCTGGCGAATGTGGAAAACACAAAGGTGTAACTGTGGAACATCTTCTATTTGTATCCTCTATGACTCTATATAGACTCTATAGCATTCACTATACTTATCAGAGAGCCAGCATATGAGATTGAACCGCACTGGGAAATAGCAAACAGTATGACCGCTCCGTCCCAATTTAAATGGCTTTTCCTCAAGACTGCCAAGGAAAGAGGTGCATATTGAACGCCTTGGGGAGAAGGCGCGGTACTGGGGGAAGGCTGCAAGGATTGCCAGGATTCGCAATAATTTGCCAGGCATTGCTCATAGGGCATGGCGCAGCAAACCAGTAACAGTCGGTCAAAGAGAAGATCACTATATATCGTTTTTAATGTCTGCAACGAAAACCATCATCCACTGGGAAATGGGGATAGATAGACCCAAACATTGTTTACGCGGTCAACCTGGTTTTGCTTAATGTTATGTTGTTCCCTTATGGATCAATGCCTGTACCTGGGGAATATGTTTGTTTCCAGGCTCCTGGACGACCTTATGCTGAGCGCGTCCACCGCCCACGTTGGAAGCCGGCCGCGTGTTCAGTCCCGATGTCCGTCCGGTCCTGAAGTTCGACCGTACTGAAGTGGAAGATGTGGAAGACAGTGCTGTTTTTTTGTTGTTTCCTAAATATATGTAATTATATATATATATATGTGTGTGTCTTTTTATTTTAGTGTGTGTTTGTTGTTTTTATGTGTTTGAGTAATTATATGTCGTTTATATATAATGGTGTTTGATGTGTTTCTTTGGACCCTTGTTCCTACATTTTTCCCTCAGAATCCGCACTCGATTCAATGGAAAAGGGTTGCAGGAGGGCTCATGCAAAAACCCTGCGACAATGGAGAAGGTCCAAGGAGCTTCTGGGTTTGTTCCTTTTTTCACCATGCCAGTCTCAGACGCTCTGTGAGTAAACACCACCTACTTCCGGATGTCTCAAATCCGATCGGGATGTCTCGATGGCCGCCATACCCCTGAGCCACCTTGGCTTCACCAGCTTCGATCTATTCGAGGACTTCGGCCAAGAACGGGTGGCAGTTTCATGAGATCTTCATCTTGTCCTATTCCCTTTCTGGGAAAGATCATTAGAGTGAGCGGTTGTTTGATTGAGTATGTTTGTCCCGGCTCCTCAAAAGTCATGGCAACACGTGTAGAAATCCCTATAGGATTCAAACATATGTAAAGCTTTGATTTTGCCTAGGATTCAAACATATCCCTAGGATTCAATCATATTCACGGGTAGAAGTCCTAGGTTTGTTTGGTTGTTTTATTGAGGATTTCAGACTACAACACGCCAGGTCAAACATATTTCACGGCCCCTCTTCAGGGCGCCTCGTCCCAGGGTACATCGATGTACATCGGGTGCCGTCCCAGGAAAAACCGTGCTGTCCCAGCGGTAAAAGAGTATCACTACTCTTGAGAAAGGCTCTCGCGTTCCTGAAGCATCATGATCCACTGGTATATCAAAATGAACTGGGAGATATCAAGAAACCTGACAACTTACATCAACTTACATACCCCAGGGATCCAAGCACCTTCGAAGGCACTTGGACCCTCCAAACCTACATCACAGTGGGTATGTGGATCCCTAGGGCATCCTTGGTTGCAGATGTTGGGGAACGTTGAAGTTTCACGATGCATCCGAACGACCGGGGAGATCACATCAACCAAAATGAGTCGACCCGTTCGTACCTCGTGTTCAATGGGTACGACGTCGTACCTGTTTTTTGGGTTTGTGTCATGGAGCCCATTTTCTCAGGGTACGAACGGTCAGTCGTGTCCAGGAATGAAGAATCGCAAGCCAACCGACTTCGGCCAGCCCACAAAACCTTCTCAAAAGCTGCACCGGGCTGCAGCTCCGCTCCGTCGACTGATCAGGCACCGAGCACCTACCTACGGTCTTTCTCGGTCAAGAGAGGTTGTGCAGATGGTGAAACATCGCATGGTCGGTAGAAGGTCGCAGCGAGGCCAAGAGTCGCTCCATGTGCTCTTCCGAAAAGGATTTGCAAGGTAGTTTTCGTTGTTTCTGCTTCCGAAACGCCTATTCACGCTATTCGCTTCGCATTGGGTGAAGACTATAGCTCACAAAGCCTTGCGACCTTTATTTCATATGCTTTCTTGCAAGTTGGTTTCTGAAACCGTAAGCTGTCCATGGGACATACACTCCCCATGAAATGTGCTGTTTGATCACACGGGTGAACCCCGCTGTTCTGTTTGTGTGGCTGTTGCCTTCCCTATATAGCTGCAGGCTCGGCTTAGGTGACTGTCGCTTTGAGGGGTGTTTGGATCAGCGCCCTGGAGTGGGCCAGAGAAGTGTTGAAAGACATGACGGATCAAAGGCCTTGTCCTACAAATTCCAGTTCAATCATGCCCGATCCTCGAAGCATGACTGGCAGGTGCGTCGCAACTGACATTGAGGCAGATTGAGTTTGCATTTAGCACAAGTGATTAGCGGTGTTAATGAGGCAGACATAAGCACGCGTGGCAACCACCATGAGCAGGCGGCGTACTCAGCTTTCCTTTTTCCGAGTCAGTGTTGCACACAAAGAACAGGACTTTGCACTAGGAACCACCGATGCCTCGCCCAATGCACTGCCAATCGCGCGCTTCAACCCAGGTATATGAAGTTTAAACGTAATGAAAAGTATGAGCAGATGCCAAAAACATCGTCCTGAGCACTTGTAACGAATCCTCAGCAACATATACCTATCTCTGATTGAAGACTTTGAGAGGTAGTGATTTAATTTCATGGGAAGTGAGAAGGCCAAAGGGGACATGTTATGGGGCGTGTTGTTCTTTTACTATGTCATGGCACTTCGCAGCCACCCGTAGCCAGGCGTGACACTTCTGCAACTTCTCTCCACCTGTAGAAGTAGTAAAGCAAAGGAACGACAAGACACAAAACTTGACGGTGGTGTGTTGTGGGTTTTTTGCATGCGAGGGTGCCCTCAACAAGTCTATGCCAATCAGCCAGGAGTTGGATGAGGAACAAATTTGTTCCCTGCGGCGCCTGCGGCTATCAGCGTTCGGGACTTGGGAGCCAGGCGAGAGTCGTCAGCCGTCAGTGGCTTCGGCGCAGACAGACGGACCATAATCGGTTGCCCAATGGAACTGATCCTCACTCAGTTGAAACAAGTAGTGGATGGAAAGGGTTTCGATATGTTTCGATATATGTTTTGATGTCCACTATAACCTTGGGGACGCCAACCATTTGGACCTGGATGGCAATCACGTGTTGAGATCAATTTGTTGTTTGCATATCTCCGAGCCTGCGCAAATCGCCCAGGACGCCCAGCATGCAGGAATCACCCCAATTCGAGGTGAGTCGTTAGCCAGACTCTCCATGTATGGCATATATTCCCGAATGCGTAGCGAAGGGTTCTTTAACTCTTGGGGGTCTGGGGGTAGAGCATTGTTCGCGATCCGTTGTTTCTACGTCCGCAACCGTCCGCAACCGTTCGCAACCGTTCGCAACCGTCCGCAACCGTCCGCGGTAGAGCGCTAAAAGGCGCTATTGGGGGAAGCTTTTGCAAGTGACTATTCATGGATGTGTCACGTGTCACAGTTTGCACCGCTATTCCATTGTGATTTGCGTGAAAAAGACATGTCGCGCAAGCAACGTGATGCGTCTCGCTGCACAGGCGCAGCGTTTGGTGAGATCTGCAGATTGCTGCGCAGTTCCATTGGGATTAGCGTTTGGAGAGTCGTGTTTTTGGGGTGTTGGATGTGGCCATGCCATTGGGATTTGCGTTTCAGGGTGTGGCATCGAAGCTCTGTTTTCGTGACAAGTCTCAGCTGAAATGCTGATTTTGGTGGATGGGAGTATGCTCAGAACGGGTCGAAATCATTCCAAACGTGTGGTGTGGTGCAAATTTTGTGTGGTAGGCGCAGGAAATCGTGAGGTTGCGAGGTGTGACGGAGGTGACCTGTCGTGGCAGGCGCAGTACTTTGTGCGCGTTAGACGTGTGGATGCGGAAAGATTCGTGGCAGGCGCAGGGAATCGTGAGGTCGTGAGTTGTGGTGGAGGTGAATGTCGCTGTCACATTGGGATTGGCGTGTGAACGGGTGTTGTTTGGAGGGGCTGGAGTCGCGAAACTGCTTGGCAGGGCTGCGTGATGTGTGTGCTCCGATGGGTGCTGCCGCTGGACTTTTGGAGGAAGTCTCGTACGAAATTCTCGTTTGATTTTGACGTGTGAGTTTTGGAGGAAGTCTCGTACGAAACGCTCGTTTTGGAGACTTGACGCGTGACTTTTGGAGGAAGTCTCGTACGAAACACCCGTTTTGGAGACTTGACGTGTCCCACAAGAGTGTCCTACAAGAGTGTCCCACAAGAGTGTCCTACAAGAGTATCCCACAAGAGTTTCGTACAAGAGTGTCCCACAAGAGTGTCCCTTAAGAGTGTCTCGTGGCAGGCGCAGGGAATGGTGAGGTTGCGAGGTGCGACGGAGGTGACATTTCGTGGCAGGCGCAGTACTTTGTGCGTTAGACGTGTGGATGCGGAAAGATTCGTGGCAGGCGCAGGGAATTGTGAGGGTGTGAGTTGTGGTAGAGGTGAATGTCGCTGTCACAGTGGGATTGGCGTGTGAACGGGTGTTGTTTGGAGGGGCTGGACTCGCGAAACTGCTTGGCAGGGCTGCGTGATGTGTGTGCTCCGATGGGTGTTTCCGCTTGACTTTTGGAGGAAGTCTCGTACGACATGCTCGTTTTGGAGACTTGACATGTGACTTTTGGAGGAAGTCTCGTACGAAACGCTCGTTTTGGAGACTTGACGTGTCCCACAAGAGTGTCCTACAAGAGTCCCACAAGAGTGTCCTACAAGAGTATCCCACAAGAGTTTCGTACAAGAGTGTCCCACAAGAGTGTCCCGCAAGAGTCTCCTATAAGAGTGTCCCACAAGAGCCCACGAACCCGAATGCAAACACATATGTCAATCCACTGTGTATAGAAAGAGACACAGCCGGTTAGAGTCTCTTTTTCACGCTCCGGCACGCTGTTGGACATCATGCGCTGGGGACTCCACCACCAAGGCAGCATGTGCTGGGGACTTCACCACCAAGCTCCGTCTTCGTCATGAAGGGTCTTCGTTTTGCATTCAAATCAAGCACTGGCGTAAAGGTTCTGGCAGATCCACATCACGAAAGAAACAATGGCATTGTCCCAAAATCTCGAAAAGAAGCACTTGAAAATGATAACCGTCCACATAATACAGAGAAATCCACAACTGCGGCGTCTGATCTTCTTGTAAATAGGAGTGCAAGACCGTGCGTTGTTGTGTTTCACCTGCGTCAACAAGAAGTATATGAGACACACACAACGGAAGTGAGTAAAACTATCCTACAGGTCATGTCATTAGTCCAACATTGGCATCGGTCCCGTATGTGCGTGCACACTCTTGTGGGACACTCTTGTAGGACACTCTTGTGGGACATTCCTGTAGGACACTCTTGTGGGACACTCTTATAGGACACTCTTGTGGGACACTCTTAATACTTGGACCCAGACGTCTGTTGTTCGAGGCCCTGGTGACACATCTAAAAACGTTTAGAATTGTATATAGTTCATCTCCTTTCGAGCTCGTGTGTACGAAAAATCCATACGAATGTTGGACTAATGACATAACCTATAGGACAGTTTTACTCACTTCCGTTGTGTGTGTCTCATATACTTCTTGTTGATGCAGGTGAAACACAACAACGCACGGTCTTGCACTCCTATTTACAAGAAGATCAGACGCCGCAGTTGTGGATTTCTCTGTATTATGTGGACGGTTATCATTTTCAAGTGCTTCTTTTCGAGATTTTGGGACAAGACAATGCCATTGTTTCTTTCGTGCTGTGGATCTGCCAGAACCTTTACGCCAGTGCTTGATTTGAATGCAAAACGAAGACCCTTCATGACGAAGACGGAGCTTGGTGGTGAAGTCTTCAGCGCATGCTGCCTTGGTGGTGGAGTCCCCAGCGCATGATGTCCAACAGCGTGCCGGAGCGTGAAAAAGAGATTCTAACCGGCTGTGTCTCTTTCTATACACAGTGGATTGACGTATGTGTTTGCATTCGGGTTCGTTGGCTCCATCTTGTGTTTTTTTTCGTAGTGGCTGAAAAAGGGGTCAATGTAGGCATATATACCATTAGAGGGTTTGGGTGGGTTGTTTAGATTTTGTAATCGGTTAGGTTTGTGAAGCGTTATACTTGATGATTTGATTGAAGGCACAAATACCTGTAGGACAAGGAGGGCAAAGGTCATGTTTTCCAGTATGGCTTCATTGTTGGGGAACAGATCGCACCACAATGCGTTAACAACATGTTGTCACCTCATGTCGATAGAAACCGGGTACATATTGGTTCACTGGTTCGTGTAACGCTATCGGCCCGTCGGCACTCGATCTGAAGATTTGCCATTCAGCCACAGAAAAGATCAAAACGTTAAACCACTTGGAACAAGATCCAAAGACATGTTCAAAGTGTTGCAAAATCACCCTTCTTCTCTATATACCAAGAATACCGTTCATCCCCAATAAGTAAATTCTCAGCCTCCTCGCACCCACCTCTCGTGACACCAGGCGCACGGCTCCGGGAACTGGTTTGGACCGGCAGCTGTTACCATTTCTTCGTTCGCCTCGGTGTGAATGCCCGGGAGTCCTTCCAGCTCCTCCAGGAGTCCTTCGCGCGCCAGTCCGCACAGAGCCTGGCTGTGAGTCATGGCACCCGTAGTTTCAACCCTTGGCTCATTTTGGTAGGTTGACCTTCCAGGTAGTCTATTTTGTTCATTTTCGGTCAAGCAGGGTCCGCTATGGAGAGGGGTCCTGCTTGGCACAGCTAGAACCACAGATGCGTTACAGCATAGCCTCGCATAGTGTTGGCAACAGGCTTATTCACCGATAGAAACTGTTTGGCACAGAAATGGTAAATAGGTTCATGGTTTTCCCAGTAAATGGTGTGTATTTTCCACGTTTCGATGGTTTGTAATGGTAAGCATTTGGATCTTTTGCCAGCCGCAGCATGTCTACCAGATGCACAGGGCAGGGGCCTGGCAGGACAGAAAGTTGACCACCGATGAGGTGTTCAATATTGCTGAGTTGAGGAATTCACCAGTTGTTTGGTGGAAAAGCATGTGTGTACCTTTGAGCTCATATATATTTTCTGAGTCCAACTCAATTTTTCAGAATCCGTCAGTCGACATATAAATTGATGTGTTTGTTGTCCTCCGGGCGTTATTTGGGACATGTTTCCCCAACAATCTATGTATTCAATATTTACCTTTAAAACAGCCCAACGCCGCAACACATAGTGCTTGGGGGTCCAGACCCCGGAGTTTCGCCCCCTGCCATGGGGATTCTTAGGGTAATTTATCTTTGGGTCTGTCCAATTGCCTGTAGCAGTCAGTAAACAATCGGCCTTTACTCACCATCATCATCCACTGTTACTGGTAGTAGGATAGGCCCAAAAATTACATTTCTTTTCAGTGGTCAGTCTATCTTCCCGGTGACAGCCTGCACTGAGACTTTCCTTGAGCATGACCACTCCCATGTTCGAATACTCCGCTATTCGTTCCACATGAAACCCCAAAACGACTGGGTCCCGGGTTGGTATTCGGAAAATGGTCGAAACCTTCTCAGGTTGTGAGACCCCATGTGGCTTCATAATGGCTTTATACAATAGGATCTAGATAAGGCCTTAGGTTGTTTGGGTTTGGTTTCTGTTCTTTTTCATCGAATCAACGGCGCCATGTCATCACAGCGACCTGAACGCAGGACTTTAGCTGGCACCATGTGATCCACCCCAGCGCCCCTCGACGCACCGGAACGGTTCCAGGTACCTGGTCACCCGAGCCACGGGCGGTAGCTTGAGCTACCTGAGTTCTCCTTGCTTTAGCAAACATGTTTTACAATCAGGAGTTGGGATTGTGCATTGAGTTTGGTCCTGTAAGAGATGATCTCAAGTCCTTTTTCAACAACTAGCAGGGGCCCGATCACCCATGTCCCATGAAAAACAAAGGTGTTCACCGACAAAAACCAGGTTTTGCGCTAGGGAAAACCAGGTCTTGGATGGGCCATGTGGGGCCCCCTGGTAGCCAGTTGTTCGGTAAAGACTATTGAATTTCTGGGTCCATTTGTGTTTATAAACTATACACTGCGGTTTCAGGGCCCTATGTAGACACATATGAATTATATCAGAGTGCTCGGGAGCGGTTGATGGCGCTCCAAAAAAAGGATCAACAAACAAAGGTGAAGGTCTGACATGGCCTGAGATCTTTAGAGATCCGTCTCTTTGGGCTGAGAACACGAAGCTTTGGCATTTCTAGTTCCAGGTGATTGGCATTTCTAGTGCAAGAATGGGAGCCATTTGGACGAAGTCTTCCCTTCTTCCGGGTTGAACAGGGGGGGGTCGATCTGGGAGGCCAGAAACACGCACTTTGAGCGACGCGTGTCTCTCCTTCTAGCACTTCTTCAGCCATTGGTCTAGCCAGTCGCCTACATTTTAGCATTTTTCACCCAACTCATGTTGCTTTGCCGCTCGAGGTGGCCAATGCCCGGCCCAGCTTGGAGCATTCCGTCTTTTGGCGGCGCTTCTAAAGGAAGTGTGGCCATGGTGGAGGGAGTGTGGCCATGGCCGTGGTCGCCAGGTAGGTGTCACGTTGGGTCAAAGATTGACCAGAGAAAATCCACATAGCCTCTGAGAAGGTGATTGGAGACTATCTATGTAGTCTTGGAGGGCTCAAATACCTTCTGAGACGGTATGTGACTCCATAGGGATAGACTACCTGGAAGGTCAACCCACCCTGGAAATCCGGGTGTTGATCCACAGCCTTGTGAGCACATGTGGACACTTGGGATGTGTTGGGTTTGGAATGTGAATTTTTTGGGTGGCTGAAAGCATACCATTGAGGACAGGGCTTCGTGTCGCATCCTGGCTTGTTTGATTCGGATGAGTCATACCTGGAGTCGACCCGTGAAGTTTGTACCTCAGAAAATGGGCCCTATAGTATACTATAGTCGTACTGTGTGTGTGTTTTTTGCCCAAACAGTGTGGGCACACTGAGGGGTTCTTGCGGTAGGGGAAAGGAAGCTGATGCTTAGATCGCTGAAGCGCGCGGGCGTGACCGGCTAATTCGCTGCTATTTACAGTACATTCATGCCTCTCGACATCGTCCATGTGCACTTCGACTGCGCAGGCTCGCAGAATCTGGGGGCCCGCGGCGGGTGCTTCCAGCGACTGCGCTCTCGTTGTGGCGCCGTGCGCATTTTAGTACATGGTGGTCACTTTTCGTGGCAGGCGCAGGGGAAACCTTGTGGCTTGGTGCTCCAAAGTCGACTTTTCGTGACAGGTGCAAGGGATCGGAGGTGTTTTACTTCGAAATGCAGTTTTCGTGGCACGCGCAGCACTTTGGACATGGTGGTGATCCTCGAGGAGCTCAGATTTCGCGACAGGTGCAGTGAATCGTGACTTTTGGACATGTGGCTCGTTTGCAGATTTCGTGGCAGGCACAGCACTTGGTGAACCTCGAAGTGCAGATTTCGTGGCAGGCACAGCACTTGGCGAACCTCGAAGTGCAGATTTCGTGGCAGGCGCAGCACTTGCATGGTGAACCTCGAAGTGCAGATTTCATGGCAGGGCAACGCTTGGTGAACCTCGAAGTGCAGATTTCGTGGCAGGTGCAGCACTTGGTGAACCTCGAAGTGCCGATTTCGTCGCAGGCGCAGCACTTGGTGAACCTGGACGTGCAGATTTCGTGACAGGTACAGCACTTTGTGAACCTCGAAGTGCAGATTTCGTGGCAGGCGCAGCACTTGGTGAACCTCGAAGTGCAGATTTCGTGGCAGGCGCAGCACTTGGTGGACCTGGAAGTGCAGATTTCGTGGCAGGCACAGCACTTGGTGAACCTCGAAGTGCAGATTTCGTGGCAGGCGCAGTACTTTGTGCTCTCAGACGCTCACTCTCTCACTCTCCCACTCTCACCCGCCTACTTTCACTCACACTCACACTCCCTCACACTCCCGCACTCACACTCACTCTTCCACTCCCACTCACTCCCATTCGCAGACTCCCACTCACACTCGCACTCACACTCACACGCACACTCACTCACCCACACTCACTCTCACACTCACTCTCACTCACACACTCTCATTCACTCACTCTCACTCTCACTCTTTGGACCCCAATGCGTCTAGATCTCTAGACTCTAGACATTCAGCGTCACATCGAGACCCTCGAGGATTTGGAACGTGTGTGGCAGCGGCTTTTCCTGGCGACCTCCGACCCGCCAGGTGACGAGACGGCAGTCCCGGGGCATCGTGACGTTCACCGAGCTCGCAGCCGTTCCCTTCGATGTGATGATCCTTGAGTCGGCCCTGACAAGTGAGCCGGATTCTTCCGCCTTTCAGGTGATAGATCCAAGCACGGATCATCGAAGTCTCATGTCTCGCACCTTTTGCCGAGTCCAAAATTCCGGGCACCCGAGCCAGCTCAGTGATACCATTTTTCGTTTCGCTTCGAACTTGATAGTCATTTGCCACTTGTGTATCGAAGGCTTTCATCTATTTGGACTCTTTGTTCGATCGATTTCTCTTCTTCAGAAAATGGGGATTCTGGGGTTTATGTCTTCTTTCGTTGAGGGGACAAAGGGGGTCGGGACTGAGCAGCTGAATGTCACAATGATTGTGGACAGTGGGAGGGATCGACATCTTAGCCAAGCTGCAAAGGGAGCAATTTATGAGATTTCGAAAGCCTTCGCGAAATTTGTGAGGAAGATCCACTCATCCCGAGAAAGGGGTTCTTCTTTCCGAGACAAAACCTGGCCTGAAAATTTTCGCAAAAGGGTACTTGGATGGAAGAAAAACTCCTTCCTACTTTCCCGAGATCTACGTGCGAAGGTTCAATGACGACGCGGGGGCATCGCTCAGAGGATCCCAGTGGATCTTGAGTTTTGACGGAGATGCGCGAAATGGAGAAGAGCTTGGGGAAGTACAGGAAAATTTCCTCAACGAAATCCGGGAGATTGCCTCCAATTTAATCCTGATATGCAAGCACAACTGCGCAATCATCTGGAAACTGGTGAAGAAGTACCAGATCTTTGCGTGAATCCAAACGCCTCTTCGCAGAGTTCGTTAGGAGTTCAGAGGTCGTGCTTGCCAGGGGGGTACAGTCACCTTTGAGTGGCCAAAAGGTTGTGAAAGCTGGTCACGTCATGATGTCAAGTCATTCTTCGATGCACACCCACAATTTCAATTAGTAGAATTCGACGGATGTGCGGTAGGTGTCCGATCCACAAAGGGTAGGCCCATAAAGAAAACATGGCGGCTCATGACAACGAGCCGTGCATTCTCACAACACAAGTGCGCTCATTCGCCGCATGAACATGACCATGCTGTTGGTTCGCAAACGGAAAAAACCGCCTTTTATCCACCGCAGATGGTTTGGGAGATCGCTCGAGCTTTGTACCCACAAAAGGTTCACTCAGCCCCAGCCCCAGCCATGCCACGTGTAGTCCCAGCCGCTGCCTCACAACCGCTAAAGCATGTCTCCGCTCTGGCGGGAGCCGACACTTTCGCGCTAGCTGTTGAGACCGACGAGGTCGATGACCAGATGGCCGAGTGCCTCATGGATCTAGAGACCTTGGTTTGTGATGCTTTCGATATTCCCGATAGTCCTAAACATAGTGATAGGGTACATGCAATGGTCACTAAACTGCTGTCCAGGGCAGAAATGCTCGCAAACCCCAAAGCTATCGAACAGGTCAAGGAGGAGGGCATCCTTAACCGATATTGGTACATGGGACCTCGAATCCGTTATAGGGAATACGAGTCAGTAAAAGACGAAGCCAAAGCTAGCAAAGTCTCGGTCCATTTTGGTCGCCTGATGACCATCGCGTCGAAAAAGTTTTGGGAGCTTGCGGAGCATCTCCAGAAAATGAAAGGACGCATTGTTTATCGTGACTGCGCTAGAGATGAGAACGGCGCTGCGGCCGTATATGAGGAGTTGGGCGCCAACCCAACCTCACTGCAAGGCCTAAATGCCTGCCTGGCATATGGATCACTGCCAGGGCATTCCTGCACAGCTGCTGACGCCGTCAAGCCGTATGTCCAAGCGTTTTTAAAGAGTAAATACAAGACGTGGATAGAACTCCCACCAGAGCTCCGCCCGGAGTGGTGGAAGGGCAAATTTGTCCGACCTGTCGTATTACTCGTTACAAATTTGAGACGGATGTCTCCCAAAGCCCCGTGGAAGCAGACCTCTCTGTCTCCAGGGCCACCTGGGTTCTGAATAACAAAAGCCACGAGGCGGGGATCCTCGATTCGACTTTGACCCTGGTTGTCTCGCCAGATTCGATGTTTTGGAAAGGATCGCTGAAGCCATCTCGGACGATCTCCGCTCAGAAGAATCCATTTTCCGCCGGACTTTTGTTTGCACGGAAACCTCTCCGGAAAGGCCTCAGAATGTCGTGACAAAGCTCTCTTTGGTGCTCCTTCCCTATTTTAAAGTTTTTCCTTTGGGCCTTGTGTCTCTGGATCAGGGGGTGATGGGAACAATTTTCACGAGGAATTCCATCGTGGAAACTTACAAGAGGAGAGGGGCCGCGGACGCCGAGCACCTCTTGACCCGGATCAGCGAGCTGGGCTTTGAGGCAGCAGCTAGAAGCTTCGCAGAGAGCTCACCATCGAACAATGCAAGATTTCGAGGAGTTGAAACAGTTCCAGCACTTCCAGACGTATGTGGCAGCCGGAGCTCATGGGCCAATCCTTCACTCTGGCAAAGACAAACGAGAGGAAGCGAGGAGTGCTGCAGATTTGAGAAGAGCTCGGACGCGAATGGTGGAATCGCATGGGCCGACTCCGGTCCACATCCAGGAGCCCAAGAAGGGAGTCGGATTCCCAGGACCTGACGAAGCTGAGTTGAGTTTTGCAGATACTGGCAGGAGCAAGTTACGGAATGGTTCGTCCAGCTTTTACAGGTGTTAGGCGCCAGAATGAAGGCTGCCCTACTTGTCGACTGGGAGGACGCTTTCAGTTGTTTCACTTTAGACTTGGATTTTGCTTCAGGGATTCTCTCCAGAACATCCAAGGTCAGTGAGTTGTCATTCCTAGATGATCGAACAAGGCCAGGGAGGAGGACTCACTACGATGTGTTTCAAGTAAGCTGCAATTTCAGCGGTACAGGACCTTGCCATTTGTTAGCAGGCGACGTTGAATTGCATACTTTCAATCATAAGTATGAGGTGTTTGTTTGATCCTTTTTGGACTGCCTCTAACCGTTGGTTCGAAACTACGCTCGAGCCAATTCCGCATTCCGGTCGTCGTGATTGTGCATACACGCTTATTCTGTCTTTTGAGACAGAGATACATTGCTGAACAATGTGAAACGAAACCGTATCTCAGGTTTTCTGAGATATGTCAAACACAGCTTGCGCTGTTGTACGTTTTTCTGGAGGAATGGTAGCAGGCTCCCGGCACCTTTGGAAGGTCCTACTAAGCATGCTCAAAAGCTATGGGCATATGTGATGCATGAGCCAGCTGACAAACCTTTGCCCGTGCACAGGGACAGTTTAGTCATCCAGGAGGCAGTGATGTCAGCTTTAAAGAGCTTTGTGCCACCCAAAAGGGAGGCTGACACGTATGGCCTGCGTTTCAGCAGCCATTGCCGTTAGATGAAGTCTTGAATTCCTGTACATGCTGATTGAGGAGCCAGCCGAAATTTGTGAGACTCTGAGACAGATCCTTAAGCAACTGCTTGCTCGGGTCAAAGAGACATCCCAAGAGTTGGAGCCTCCGGATCTGTTCACTGAATCAGGTCGACAGGCAATATCCTTTTCTTCCATTAAAGGGGGACCTTCAGGAAGCATTAGAAAGTGTGTGCGCGATTGAGGGAACCAGGGACCATTGTCACTGTAATTTCACTTGACGTCATGGTGAGCGCTAAACACGGAGACCTTTGTGATTCGAAGCAACAGGAAGCAATCCTGGTTTTGATCCTTCAGGGCAGTGGCAGGGGGGTTCGCCGGACCCCCCTGTGAAACATGGTCCATAGCTAGGTTTCAGAACATAGCAGGTCAGAAGAAAGCTCCGCGACCGGTGCGTGACCTTGCCAATTTATGGGGGCGACCAGACGTAGGAAAGCATGAGGGAGAGCAACTGGAAGTTGGGGATGCCTTGATGGCTTTCGCCTTGCTTGCTTTGACGAAGATAGCTCTTGCTGGGGGTCTCGCTGTCCTCGAGCATCCACAGAGCCCGCACAGCCTTGGCGCAAAACATGTGACAGCTCCCACAATTTGGAGAACGCAGGTGGTTCGATGGCTTCATGAAATTGGTAAGAGGTAGCACATTGAAGAGCAATCGCGTACAACGCGATGTCCGCAAACGGCCTCCATTGGCTTAGAGAAAGGCAAGTCGAAGACGAGCTCTTGGAAAGAGTATCCTCCTTGCTTTTGTGTTTATTTAGCTAAGCTCTTTGAGGCCTGGTTGTTGCGGAGAACAGGGGAAGCGGCCCCAGCCCCAGATAATGTGGAGTGGCTGCGGGAGATGCACATTGGCAAAGCCGATGTCCGATGTGCATGGGGCTGAAGGGCCGGACTTCCACCGTTTTAATTAGATGGAATTCAGCGTGCGAGGCGTTGAGTCTACGGACACTTCGCGCTACAAGAAAGAAAAAAAGAAAAAGGATGGTGTGTAGTGACTGTGTTTTCGATCCCTCGCCGGTCCATCACTCAGGGCACTCACCGGGCCGAACCCATCCGTAGCCGACAAGTTGCAACGAAAAGCGAAAAGAAACGACCTGACATGTTGACCAAAAAGTGTTGCATATATACCTTACGGTATATGCCGGTATGTTGTAAGTATATGTCACACATCTAGTGTAACTATTCAAAGAACAACACCTGAAAAGTTCATAACATGTCCAGCATCTCCAACATTTCATCCAGAGTCATTTTTCAGGCGAAAGGGTCAACAAATTGCCTATACCCCTAGGGCTCCCTCCAGTCGTACCTTCGTTTCGATTTTTTTTGCCAGGAGGGTCATGTCATACCTTCGTTTCGGTACGACTTGTGCCCTTTTGCCCGGTACTGTTTCATTCATGCAGGTGCTGGGGCCCAAAGCTGGCGACCGCGGCCTCAACTGGACCATTGGCCCCCTGGACCGCAAGGAGTATCGAAGCACCGTGGGTTTTGGTGTCGGCCCAGTGATTTCGCTGTGGGTCACACCGGAAAAAAACTGGTTAATCAACAAAAATGACGAGAACAGGCAGGTCCTTGAGGTTAAACCTATCAACCAAATATCGGATATATACCAGGACCATCCGTTCGAGGTTTTTTTAAAAGACTTGTAAAGAGCAGAAGGGGTATCCAAAAACCACCTGTTTGGTACAACCACTGGTCATAATCTGAGTTTGTCCTATCAACTGTAACAGGCAGTAAACAATTAACACTATTTTGAGCAAAGCCTTTGCTAGCCATCATCATCCACTGAGGCCCTGGTAATAGGATAGACCCAGAAGGTATGTATATATATATATATAGGGATATATAGGGTGTATAGCCCAGTAAACCGGTCGAGCCGTCGGCAAAAGGTGATCACTATTTTGGAGAAAGACCAACTGCTATACCATATATGTCCTAGCCTTCCGTTCGACCATGAAAAAACGGTGGCAACATGTGGCGACGACTCAATCGCCTTCCGACACGGGGTAAGGCATTTTGTTCTTGAATTTTTGCAGGAAAAATGGTTCAACTGGGTCAACTGTTGATGGTCAACTGGGCATTGGGTCAATCCTTTGGCATGGGGAAGATGTCCTTCTTTTTCCCGGTTCCGGACAGCAAATCCCAGTACCTGGAGTCTCAGTTGTTACATCGGAAAATGAGTGCAGCCGTACCTGTTGTTTGTTCAGGTCAAGTCCCATTCTCTAAGGTACGAACGGTCAGTCGGGTCCAGGGACCCAGTCACGTTCGACGGGGTGCGATCCATGGAGGTTCGGGGTGCCCCGACGTCACATCCGGATGGGACGAGCCACACCACCCCGTTGAACGTGACTCCAGGTAGTTCCAACAGAGATTAGGTGACCTGAACTAGGACCCTACTGGAGTACCTATGGGATAGTCTATAGGGTCCTTCAACCTCTGTTGGTTGTTCAGGTGTTGTTTCCTTTTGTCAGAATCCTTGACCGCCGAGCTCTAAGAAAGGGACGGACCTCAAGGAAGGGGTGGACGGACCCGAAACAAGCCCCCTCGGTGTTTGGATCCGAGACGGGCTGTTTTCTGTGTGTTTTGTATTTATTACATCATGAATGTGTAATCCCCAGCGACCATCAAAAACAGATTGACCTGGTTTTGTAGTCTAAACTCCGCAAGAAGAAAAGACATGTGGTTGCAACCATCAACTCAGTGGTGGAAGCCTAGTCAGGCGGATCAAGTTTTGATTTGTGCATGTGAGATGGCGTGCCGCAACCAGACCGGTGTGCGACCAGGAGACGGGCGGTTCCCTCCTCTACGCTCAACCATAAGGGAAAAGAACACAGTATATACCAGGGGCCCCACAAACCATCCAAAACCGGGGTTTCCCTAGCCAAAAACCTGGCTTTTGTATGTGAAAACCTTTGTTTTTCATGGTTTTGAGGGCCCCTGGTACAACATATAAACCCGACAGGACTGACATATACCAGGGCCCCCGGATAGTGATTAATGGATACCCCTCAACCTCTAAGGAGCTATAATTAGACCTCCCTTATAAGGGCCCTGGTATACCCCCACACGACTGGGGGAGTTGATTTGGTCCAAGGGCTCTGAGGACCGGGACCCATGGAGGGTGCCGTCCATGCATTGAGTCCAGGTGGCGCGATCCGGTGCCGGGCTCGTCACATTGTACAGCCGGATGGGACGAGCCACAACACCCAACTCCATGTGAGCTCAGGAGTCTGTGATCCGATGGGACGACCCGTCTCCACAACTCATCGACTCGTCTCTCACCATCTGTCCAGTCGCCGCAGGAGGGCGAAATGTGTGTTGGAACCGCGAGGTTCTCTTCGCGGGTTCTCCACGTTGGCCCATGGTTCTTCCAGGGTTTGTGGATTTGAGGCTGCTGTTGTTTCATGTGTTTGTTTCCTTATGGGCGGCCTCTAAGGGGCTATTGACAGACACCTCTTGGAGGTCCTGGTGGTGGTTGTTTCGTGTTTTTGTTTGGGTTCGACAGCAAATCCAAGTGAGGCCTGGATGGATATGAGAAGCCAGGGGACATCTTCGACGCTTGGATCAGTCGATGGGTGTCACTGCGGGGCACAGCGTCCACAGCTCGGGGAAGCCAAGGTCTAGGACTCCAGTGGTACATTCTGACCATGCAGGTTTTTGGAATGGGTTTGGAGGGTCCAAATACCATGTGAGGAGGCACTTGGAGCCCTAGAAAAGTATATGTGATTGTAAAGATCTGAATTCAGGGGGAAGTCAATAGACTGAACGCGACCCACTCACCCACTCTGGCGCCCAGTCCAATCGGGAAGAGTCAACACAGGCGCTCGGTCCGGATTTCAGGGTCCGGACATGTCCCATGGCGTTTCGGTCCCGAACCAGGTCGGATCCTGGTGGACTCGGATCCGGTTTTGGATGCAGAAACCCAGCCGACTCGCCTTCGCCTTCGTGCGGGTCCGACGCACCAGCTGGGTCCCTTGGGAAGCTCCGCACGCAGCGTCCTATGCAGCACTGGGTGACGTAACTTCGCCCGAGAAGTTGGAGTGCTGAGTTGTTGGAGATGTCTTCTGTCAACGATCAGAAGAACAGCACGCAGCACTCCAAAGAATCCTTGATGGGGTTGAACACTTCTTCCCATTTCACGGTGGAAGTGGGTTCTTGGTGCTTCCCATGGGTGGGTTTTCACCAACTCACGTATCCAAGTACCAAGCGCGTGCCGCGGACAGTTTCACGTCCTTGGTCACGGGTCGCGTTGGGTCGTTGGTCGACGGTTTCACGCCTTGATTCGGGTCGACCTCAGGTCACCCACCTGTTCTGCCGGCTTCTCCATGGTGTCGGTGTTGGTGTAGACAGCATCCAGACACTCCATGGAATGATGCCATAGAAAGAACACAATAACTACATTGAGTTGGTTTCAGGGGTCAATGTAATAGGCACATAAGGCACATATGATTTACATTGATTTACCCATACATGGAGTGTTTGGGGTAGTTGCTAAAGTTGATCTCCGTTTGTCCAATAGACCCTGGATCTCAGTTTCCACTCGCAGTAAAACAACACTTTGGCACCTTCTTATAAGAAGGTACGACTGAGACTGGAGCCCCCTAGGGAAGTGGAGGATGGTGTGGTGTGGCCTGAATCATCCAAGATTACGCCCTCCGTGAGTGAAGACGGTCCTACTTCCGATCCCTCAAAATCAATCGGGATTGCGGGTTGTGCTTAATTATGCATGTATTTTCTATTTTCCCTACATCCATGTAAATCCCCTTCTATAGAGACGATTATGTGTTTGTTTCCTGGTTCCTTAAGCAAGTCCAAGGATTGGTGAGAACCCCCAGATTCACACAGGTGAGCGCAGGTAAGGTCTCGGTCTCCCTCGGGTCCCTGAACAATGAAGAAGATCCAGCCGGGGTTGTTGCATGTCCTGGTTTTGCTTAAGGGGATTTGTTATTGTCCCTACAATCCGGGGCCCCAACAAACCATCAAAACCCTGGTTTTCCCTAGCAAAAAACTTGGTCTTTCTATGTGAAAACCTGTTTTTTTGTATGGTTTGGTTCGGGCCCCTGGATTATATACACCAATTGGACAGTTGTTGGCGCAACTCCAAACAATTAGTGGCAACGGCCGCGCCATGGATCGCCGTTTCCTCGCTATTTGGCAGTCATAGATGGCGCAACTACTATTTGGATTGCAGAACAGCAAAATCCTGTGGGAGGTCTGTGCGGATACTAGTTTGCCCTATAGATGGCCCAATGGCTATAAGTGTTGATGTTCTTTCGATTCTTTTTTATGTCCTTTGATTCCTTTGGACTTCCTTTTACGGAGGCCCATAAGATGGAGCGGTCCCCATCTCCGCTATTTTCTGCAACTTTAGCCACATGACCATCCAAACCGTCCTTTTTTTTTGGCCACGGGGCGCATAGATGGCGCAACACAACTGAATGCCATACCTAAACCTGGCGCAATAAAAACAAGTCACCCTCATCAACTTTCAAATCGGAGTAGGTATACTATATAGGTATACATGCTCTTCTGTGGATTTCTGGGGAATGTATATGTTGTTTTTTTTCAGCTTCCTCAGGCAAATCCAACATGTTTCATGTCCTTTCTGCATTCTGTTCGCTTCTTACTGGTAGCTGTTTGGCGTCCCCAGAAGCCCAGACCTCACCAGGGGCGAGTCTTGGGTAGGCAGGGCAGTCGGTCCTTTGACATGGCTCTGTTTGAAGGACCGTGGCTCTGAGATCCGCCCAGTCCATGGACTGGAAGACTGATCCCAGAGCTGGGTGTGCTGGGATTTCCAGTGGTGTTGGCAAGAAGCAAATTGAAATATGTTGAGCTAATGAGATCCATTTAGATCCATTCGGTTAGTATGGCCAAATCAAAACGTTGGGTGCTTCCTCATCCTCTCTTTGAAACTCATGTCATTTTTCATCAAGAGAACTCATCAAACAACATCACACAGCCCAACAACAACCTCCACCCCCGACAAGTAGTCACATGTCTTCGTGCCGAACGAACGGAGGGTGCCATCGGGGTATCCCTGTCACATCCACGGCCACTGGATGGAACCAAACCGCCCAACTCCATGCCAGACCGGACTGCCAATGATTTGCCCACAGTGTGGTGGTTTGGGGGGATCAATGTAGGATGGTCTGGGCATGTGACTGGACTTCCTGAAAACGGATCCGAGGAAGTGCAAGTCTTCGGCGAGCTTCGCGTGGAACGGGTGCGCTGGCACCGCCTGGCGCCGCGCACTTCCGCCTCTCGGCGGGGAGAACGATGGGTTCGACCGTCGATTGGGTTTCGAGTGGAAAGAACAAGTGGATCACCTGCAGGTCACCTGTTTTTGCTAGGGAAATGCATAACGCAGAACCATGTTAAGCCATGTTATATATATATAATATATATACATTTTTTTTTTTTCGAGAAGTGAGGGGTAGAAGTGCACTTCATCGGGGTGCATGGGGGCATTTGTGTGTAATTATTTGAGTGAAAGAGTCTCATTACTGTGGAGCGACCCGCAACAACCTAAACATACCTAAACAACAAACAGCAAAAATAAGTGTAGGTGAAAAGGTGAGGACAAACTTTTCAATAATGAATTTATCAATATTGAAACTTGAAAGGATTATTGTGTTGAATTCATCCAATATCTCGTGACTCATTTATTTATAAGTCACTTGCTAAAGAATATGAGGGAAATGATTTGTAGGTTAGATACATATTATATGGATTTAATAAGAGATCTAGATGTCATGTCAATCAAATCCATGGCCTCGTCCGGTTTGGTAGTGACACCAAGTCGGAGGTCGATCTTGAACCTACAAAAGTGAATAGACTCCCTCCAACAAACATGGAAACGGACAACCCCTGTTTGTAGAGGAAAATTGCTCTTCCAGGGGTCATGTTCCACTGCCATGATTGTTTCAGGGACCATACTCAAGTACTACACTAATTTGGAAAGCCAATCTCTCTCTCTCTATATATATATGATGGGAAGTTGATGGGAAGTTGTTCCACATGTTGGGTGGTTGGTGGTCCAAAATAGAGATAGAGGTCACAAAAACAGTTCGAGTACCCTGCGACCTTTTTGGAGGGGATCAAGGACGGTCACGAAGGGTGTCGATCCATGTGAGAAGGCTGTCGACGGTCTACCAGCAATCTTCTCCACTTCGCCCGTGGAACCCGTCTCAATGGAACCAGCCAATCCCATACACTCCATGGGACTGCCATAGGACTGCCGCCCCAGACAGACCCCCTGGCACCACCCCTGGCCGTTTCTCAGCAGTCCGGACTGGCAGTCCCATGCCCAGACACTCCATGTATGCCATATATATGCCGCCCCATTGACCCCCCATGGCACCACCCCTGGCCGTTTCTCGGCAGTCCGGACTGGCAGTCCCATGGAGTGTTTGGGATGGGTCGCGTCTGGGAGGTCTCTTTCTGCAGCCGCCCTCGCCTGTCCGTGGGTCGACCCTCTCTCCGCCCCGAGGCGGCGACCATCCGACACGCTGAAGAGACGGGGCTGCTGTTCGGCCGGTAGACGACGCACACCACGGTCTCCGACCGGCGTGTTCTCCGGTCGGTTGGAGGAGAGGTGAAGGAACGGTGAAGAAAAGGCATGTCTTCTTTTTGGGCGCCAGACGCAAATTATTGAAGTTCTAATTAGCACTGGCATGCCGTGAGATGTTGCAGGAGTCTTTGTTGAAACATAATTTATTTGCATGCGTGGCTAGTCCGGGTGTCCTGGGGCCCTGCGTAGATGTTGAATTGTTCCCGGTTCCGAACTTACACTCAAGAAGATTAACATGGAACCTGAGTTCACCACGTCGGGTTGTGGAGGAAAATCGTCTTCCAGTCTGGTCCATGTACGACTAGCCCGGTTCCATGTGAGTTTTCGGGAGTGTAAGCAAATCCAAGATTGGACATGTTGCATGGCCTGAGTGAAGGTGCCATGGACAGGTTCACAGCCAGCGAGGTTCACGCCCAGCTGGGCGGGTCACTAATGGGGTCTCCAACAGACTACCATGCACTAAGTATCACTAAGTCTTATACAAAAACATGTGATCTTTCTATTACCGATTTTGGGGTAGTCAAAGTGTCAGTCCTCGTTCGCACGGATGCGATCCCGGATGGACGATGGTCACAAGACCTTTTTCGTGCATGTGTTTTTTCTGTACCCCCAAAGGCTCATTGGACCCTCAGTTCGCTAGGGTTTTGACACTCACAACTAGGGTTTTGGACCTCAAACATGTATAGCAGTTTGAGGGTCCATTGTGTGTTGCGAACCGGGCCAGGATTCTTTTGTTAATTGATTTTGCGAAAACGTTCTGTTTGACTGGACGTCCCCTGTAAGGATCATGGATCATTTTTTCTTTTGATGTGCTCATTTAGATGACCCCTGCTACCAAGGGGCCAAATGGAAGTCGATTTGGACTTCTAGGGTGTATAGATGTGTATAGCATGAGAGAGCCAGTCAAGTTTAGTGCTTCTTGGACTCCTTCTTTTTGTACCTGGGATTCTCATCAGGATCAAACAAGCAATCGATGTTCCGAAAGGCATGTGTTTTTTAATTTATCGGAATGGTTCCTGGTGAGTTGCGTTCTATTGACATCCATAGACTATCGGGTGCCCTATAGCTTCGAACATATTGGGCTTTTCCAATAGATGGACCTGAGAAGTTTCAGTCTCCCGCTGAGCCTCGGTCTTTGCTCATCTCCTTCTTCTTTTCGTCCGCGACTCGGCGTCTTCTCACGGACACCGACCGCGAGAAAAGCGCGGTGGTGCTGGGTGCTGAGAGTTTTTTCATGATGTCGGTGTGCTGAATGGAGATCATATAGGGGTGCCCCTGTCACATCCACTCACTGGATGGGACGAGCCACAGCACCCCACTCCATGTAACTTCTGGTAAGAGGTGTTTCATGAAATGCATGTTTGGAACAAAACAACCCCTATAAGTGGAACTTTTAAGGAGAAAGAACTGGGTTGAGCCATCCCTTTTCAACAGTTCACCAGCGTTCAAGAAACTTGGACCATCCCAGACCGGGGTGTCCGAGAGCTGGACATCCGGGAGGCCAGGTGAGGTGCCGTAGTGGGCGCCTGGGGCGAGCTTCCAGCCAGGTGAGGCCGAACTGAAGGTGCTGGAATATAAGATCTCTTTGCCGGGCAAGTCCTTCTGCAGATGCAAATCCCTGCCTTGAAGTCCTGCAAACTAAATAGGAACTACAAGCCTGGGACTCAGATAGACTCAGATAGACTCCTGCAAGCCCTTGAACCGAACCTCAGATCGATCCTGATACCTGACCAAGACACGACGAATGGAACTGGAACCACCCCAATGTGATGTGTAAGTTGATCATCCCAGACAGGTCGTCTCTGAAAAAACACCACGACGCATCACGACGCCATACGCGCGACGCGCGACGCCATACAACCGCAGCCGGCTTTCACCAAGCAGCTGCCTTTCCTGGAGACATCGTGTCCCTTCTTCTGCGGTCCATGGACGTCCTCAAGCCACAGCCTGCCGTCGCTGAGGCGCCGTCGGGAGCGTCGGACGGAGCGGCACCGCCACGGAACGCCGCGGACGGAGAGTCATTTGCGGTGTAATACTTGGCGGGAAGGTACGGTTTTTAGCACCGTGAACGCGTTGTTACCGACACCTCAGTGACTACCGGGGGCCCCACAAACCATCAAAAACCTGGTTTTTCCTAGCAAACAAATGCAACAAAACATGGTTTTTGTATGTGAAAACATTTTCTTTTAATGGTTTTGATGGCCCCTGGTAGTACTTCCCGACCTACTTCCTCGGGATCCACGTTACCTTCTCAGAAGGTGCTTGGAGACACTGATATGTGCCAGGAGGTTGCAGTCGTACCGAACCTGAGGTTCGGTACGATTGGATCGCTGAGCTACCATGGGTGCTTGAGCCGCAGCCATGACCGTTTTTCACAATGGAGGCTTTTGTTGAACGTCATGTTTGGACTGCTAAGGCCACCAGGTGAGTCCTTTTTATCAAGCACAATGGCACATCTTGGTATTCTTTACACAATTCCTTGACGGTGCTGGGTGGCACCGCTCAATGAGCTATATGACGCCTATATAGTGACGCTAATGTATATGTGGAGGTCTACGAAACAAAAACTTCCAATATGACCATCTATGTCTTGACAGATCCTTCCGGGCGTCAGCGCATGTGACGTGGAACAGCCAATGTTCGAGGTTGAAGAAATCGACTGTTCGACTATCCCAGTTGGGTACCCCAGGTTTTCCGGGTCCTAATTCAGGTCACTTCACCTTTGGAATCACCCACTCTGTTTCTTGTTGGCCAGTCGAAAAATCATCCCCTAGGGCTCCAAGTACCTCCCCAGAAGGTATTTGGACCCTCTAAACCCACCCCAGTCCCACCTTCTTAGAAGGTACGACTGGAGCCGTAGGGATCCACACCTGGGTCCAGTCGAGCCAGGTCTTGTTGCTTGGAGCGCTTTCGCTCGAGCACGCACCAGTCGTCTCGCACGCGCACGTGCGCTTTTCCGGTCGAGCGAGGGTGACTGTCCAGGTGAACGGCGGACATCGGAGGACGGGGCGAATCCCCTTCTGTGGAACATGTTGACGGGGCGAATCCTTCCCATGACCTGTAACTGAACCATCATCATCCACTGGGCCCAGGTAATGGGATAGACCCAAGGAACATGTGGTTTTTGTTTGCCCCATGGAACATATTTTTGGAATAGGAATCCCCTTCTGTGTAATATGTGTTGTTTCTGCCCATGGAACACTCTCCCTTAGGTATCCCCTTCTGTGGAATATGTTTCGCCTGGATCTTCCAACGACCAACAAATTATGGTAGTTTTGGTTATTGACCAGGTTTTCCGCGCAAACGCCCGCAAATCAGCGCAACCGACAAAACGACCGCAAATTAGCACAAAACGCGCGCAAAAAACCAGCAAACGACCACAAAAACCCGCAAAATAACGCAAAACAAACAAAACGACCAAAACGACCATAAAACCAAAACAACCATAATTTTTTGGTTGTTGTTTTTGTCTGGTTCCTGGACAGCAAATCCAAGAAGTTGGCCAGGCATTCGAGCATTCCTCAGCCAAGCTGCGGAATGAGCTCCAGGACCATCGACCAAGCTCTGGAGTCAACCCGCGGGAAGGAGTTCAGAAAGCTGACGTGAATGTTCATCTGAAATAAAGATTCTCCCAAGGGCTGAACTTCTACCAGGAGCATCCAAATGGTGTCCAGTGGAGATCGAATAGTGGGTCCAAGTTGGAATGTGTTGGGGGTGTCCGAACTTACCTGTAGAGCCAGTTGGTAATCGTCGGTAAACAAGAACGCTATTTTAAGGGAACGCCTGCAACCATCATCCACACGTTACAGGGATTAGGATACACCCACCATCATTCCCCCAAGAGCCGAATGCCAGGGTTGAGCCCCATGAATTCTGAGGAGCCCTCATGTCGAATCTTGATTGATAAATCCCCATATGCAGAGGTTGTTCAATCCAAGTCATTAAGATTAGTCTACACTACTGATCATTAGATACCGTATATCATAGACCTATTGAGTCCACACTTGGAGATAGCCCCACTATGCATCCACCAAGTTGTTTATTAATCAAGATCAAGAGTCTACATTACCCAGACCATCCATGGGACTGGCATAATTACCTCATTTGGGGCGGTGGGAAAGGGGTGAATTATACATGGAGTGTCTACATTCTCCAGGGATCCAAGTACCTTCTCAGAAAGTACGACTGGATCCCTTCAGATTAGAGCTCATGTATCCAGTGGATCTTCTTCTGCGCATCGAGGCAACCCGGGGCGATGCATTTTTGAGCATCACCCGGCTCCGTATAGAAGCGAGAACGGGCGTATGGTTTCCCCTACAAGGGCCTTTAAGAGTTGGTTCATGGACACCCCTGAAATCTTTGAATAACCACTTTTCGGGGTGATTATTAGACAGCCCAAGCCGGTGGCCCGATTATTACAGGTCAGTTCGTTCACATTTTACTGGAGTTGGTCATAAAAAGACACGAAACCTGGTTCTTCGACCGTCCTTGATCTCCTGGTTTGAGGTCACTTCGGCCTGTAACAGGTCACTTGGGGACTTGAAGCTGGAATGACATCAGGTTTTTCAGGACCAGGTCTAGACCTGAGTACGACATCAGCCTGTATGTGCAAGGGTCCAAAAGCACATTCTGGTGGGTGCACATCATGACACGACGTTCTTTGGGGCAAAGCAAAGGGTTGTTTGTTCAACACAAGGTTCTGAGGGCTCATGACGGCCGTTTTTCAGCATGCTTCACCTGGTTTTAATGGTGTAACATTCAGTAAAATAACAGATGGGTTCTTTTGGTAAAAACCACAAAAGCCCAGGTTTATATAACACAGTATAAATCCATCGTATAATCCCAGTGTCATGTGTATGACCATCCCCTTCAATCACCGTGATCCCTTCCGGGGCTGAGACCCAGCATCCACCCGTGCGCCCCACGACACGCAGATCCCAAGCCGTGGTTCAAACGCGTGGTGTTCCAAGCCACGCGCCAGGACGAGAAGGGACGTCCTGAAGGGAAAGATAGGAAGATGTCGAAGGAGAGGATGGCCGATGTCCGTGGGCGAAACTCGTAGGTGGCCGAAGAATGCCGTCGAATCTGGAGATCCTGGATAGTACCTGGACCCTCCAAAGTAATATAGACAATGGGAAGGTGGGACGTGACATGGCCCTAATAAAAGCAGGGTAAAACAGTTAAACTGGTACATGACTGTACCCATCTTCCGAGGTACTTTGAGCCTCCAGATAGTAGTAGTAGTAGTAGTAGTAGTAGTCGCAGTAGCAGGAGTAGTAGTCGTCGTCGTCGTCGTCGTGGCTTCCCGTGGTGGCCATCCCGGCCTCAGGGGCGTAGGCTGGGGACTTCCATTGCATGGTGTGAACCGAACGGAACAGTGCTGGTGGACGCCCTCCGTCATCGCCTTCGTCGTCTTGGATCGTGTGTTTGTTTTTTTTTAGGTGGGATCGTATACACCCCGTGAAATCAAACATGGACCCTGAAAACGTACTGGTTGGTAGAGGAAAACACCCTTCCAGGGGTCCAGGACGGACCCGGGTCTATGTGAGTTTTCGGGAGTGTACACAAGTGTACACCCCGTGAAACCAACTGCTTGGCATTCGGAGAATGGTCATTCTTAATTTTTTGCCCAGGTGAGTCATCCGTGTAACCATGATGAGTTCACGGAGTGTCTACACCCGGGAAGGGCCCCGATCGCCCCATCTCCTCAGGTTCGGTGGTTAGACTCGACCCCCTGGCACCCACCCCACCCACCCCAGTCCCACCGAACCGAAATGGAGGTGGACCACGACATGGAGGTCTGGTGTATGTGTTTTCTATCCCAGTGGTTTCAGAGGTGAGAAATGGCACTGGCATCCCAAGATGTCTTAGGCAGATGGGGATCCATATAAACCACCCTCGTTGCTTGGGGATTGTGCCATCTACTCTCAATCCACTGTTTTTTGGTGTTCGCCAGTCACCGAATGATTTGCACTTGGCTTCCCAGTCACCGAACTCGTTGTCATGCCTGACCAAGGCATCAGGTGTTGCACGACCAGTGCGTCGCATCTGAACATTTGCGAAAGGAGTGTTGCACTTCAATGCAAGTCCCAAACACGACCGATGGGACTGCCATACATGCCTACATTGGGGGTCAATGTAGGCATATATATGGCAGTCCCATCGGTCGTGTTTGGGAGTTCTTCTTCTCTTTCGTCCTCTTCTTGTCGCCTCGTCTCAAGTCCTTTCGCATGGCCACACGCCGGTGGTGAGTCGGTAAAAAAAGGGGGTACCCAGACGCGACCCCGTTCACAGGCCTTTCCCGGTCCCGAAGCAAACCATAGGGATTGGTGAGGTTACGTCCGGACCCCTCCAAAGGATTCGGGTACGGCCCCTACTGAACGCAGGGTCCAGGGTCGCGTCTGGGAAGTTGAAAAGGGGGTCAATGTATGTACTAGGAGCTCTTTGTACCAGCAGTTGCCAAGGGGTGCCATCCATGGTGTCCACAGCATCCACTCAAGGGATCTCAATGGAATTGGCAATATACAGACTGCAGATCCTTTAATTCCGAATTCTTGTTTCTAATAGCTTCTTGTTCGGCCAGTTTCGCCCTGAACGTAGCGTAGGGTCATCGCTCCGTTCGAGTCGCGATGCCAGGACCCCCGAACGTAGCGAAGCTGGTTCCTAATCTGTAAACTACTAAGGACTTGCTACTTCGTACCAATCTGTTTTCGTCGAGCTTAAGCTTTTGCTTTTGCTCGGTGGAGGACCCATCGGAAAAAGACCCCGATCGGCGTCTTCAAAAGGCAGGGGGGACTAGTGGCATGGAACAGGTCATTTTTTGTATACACCCTATAGGATTCGAATGGTCTTATATACTGCAATGGTCTTTACCAAAGAACCATCAATGTATTACTATTATAAGGATGTTTACACTACGCCGCCAGGTCAACCATGCTTTTAATGGTTTTTGAAGGCTATCTTATAGGGTACAGATGTGCAAATTCAAAAGTACCCAGGCAATCTACAGAGGTTGGCGTTGAAACCAAACCATGGGTGCCGGAAATATGGTCATGCAGATCATACCGTATATGCGAGAGCAAAACGAGCCTAGACTGCAGTGAATGAAGGCTTTGACTCAAAGCCTTCGCCTGCTTGGCTGTGGACCCCCATTGAAACCCATAAAGAACTCCGAGATCGAGGCAAGGGAAAGGATCTACACTGAGGATTCGGACCCTCAAAAGCAAGGCTTTGGTTCTGGGCGCCAGTGAAACCCCTGTGAAGCCAGAGGGCTTCGACCTAACCGAAGAGGGTGAGTTGGGATCCTGTCCCCTGGACGCGCTTCATGAAGCAAATCCACCACCGAGTGCATCCAGAGGCTCCACCTCCTCCAGTCCGCAAAGCTCTTGAACCTTCGAACTAAACCAGTGAATTTTGGGGACCAAGGGACCCCCAAGCAACCAAAGGGAGTGGTGTGAACCCAGAAAGTTCCGGGCTCCAGTCATGACGGGATTGGAAGTTTGGCGCGTTGGGGGGCTGGAAATGGCGTCGGTGGTTGGACCCCAACAGGGCAAGTCGTTCCAGTCAATGTACCGTGGTTTCAGAGGTTTCATGGCACAGACCCAAAGATGTCCTTTAGATGGGGGTCCATATAAACCACCGACATTGGGGTCTGTGCCATCTACTCTCAATCCACTATATGTTATCCATCCAGGTGAATCAAGGTATGAAGAAGATTGAACAACCAGGAGTCACAAGACGGGGTGGTGTTTGGTCCCCAAGTGAGTGGATGTGACATGGGCATCCCGACTACCTCCATGGATCGCACCCCTTACCGAACGTGACTGCTGGAAGTTCTGAACATGTTCACCACCAACAGAGGTTAAGTGACCTTATAGGATCTTATAGGACCCGACCAGGGTACCGAACTGGGATAGCCTAGTTCGGGTTCTTCAACCTCTGTTGGCAGGTCGTTGAAAGGATATGACCCCTCACCCCTGATGTCTCCCACCGATCCCATTGCTTTTCCCCCCCCCAACGGGGCCTAGACACCTACCGTCACTTACGGCGACACTCACGTCCGACACCGGGACCGTGGCGGTGGAAGAACGAGCCTCCAGATGTCGACTACCAGGGGCCCCACATGGCCCATCAACAAAACATATATCAAAAAGTTTGTTTTTTTCCCGAGCAAAACACATGGTGTTGGTTTTTGAACACCTGTGTTTTTGCATGGGAGACTGGATTCCGGCCCCCCCGGGGTAACGCATCATATGCTGCTTTTCCGTGGACAGGTCAGGAAGATATGACCCAGTTAATAGGCGCTCCAGGACGCCATACCCAGACGCGACCCATGGGACTGCAATAAGATAAAGGCCAGGGGTGGTGCCAACAGGGGTCTGTCTGGGGCGGCAGTCCCAGATGGCGGTCGTCCCATGGATCGTGTCATGGGATAATTCCAACATCCAGACCAACTCTGAGCCGCTCTTCTCATAGCTTCACACCGCAGTCGCACACCGCGAATCCACGCAGTCACCGCGCATCCACGCAGTCCGCGCGGTTTCTTCAGGCGCCATGCGTGGAGAGGAGCCAACGGTCTCGACTCTTGGGTCTGATATTATCCAAGAGAGGTTTAAGTGACAATATGATGTGTAACCTGGAGTACCGAACTGGGATAGTCGAACTGAAGCAACACCTCTGGGTTGCAGAACAAGTGCAACACATATCCAGACACGACGAATGGGACTGGTATATGTGCCGCCCCAATTGACCCTGACTTCTATCACCCCATGTATGTAAATATGCCAGTCCCATGGAGTATGCAGGCGTCCTCCCCCTAAGGCTCCAACTACCTGAAGTTCCGTGGTTAGGGTAAGTTTCGGGGGTTTATATGGTTGGAGCCCTACTTGCCCGGTGGTTGGCTAGCTTTGACTTATAGGTTATAAGTATCCCTAACATACTTGTAGTTATAACCTTGGTTATAAGTCTGCTAACCTCTATAAGGTGTGGCCAACCATCGGGCTAGTAGGGTTCAACAATTGAGAGCTGTTCCTTCGTTGGGCCCTTCCCATGGTCCAACGACCACACTTTCCGACCCAACGGCGATCGACACTGAAAACGGACGCTGCGTAGCCCACTCCATGGGCTTGGAAGGCTTCTGTTTGGTTCACTGGGACCAGCTGATGAGGTGCTCACCGTCCCTGGAACTCTCCGGAACTGATCCACTGTCTGTCGGAGCGTGAGGAAGCCTACCCAGACCATCCATGGGACTGGAATACATAACATCTATCATCTATCCCATGAAAATGAACCAAATGCTTCCTACCCTAAGGATCCGGACCCTCAAGAACAGGTGTTTGGTTCGGGGCCCCAAACCCCTGTAGAGGGTTCGGCCCTTGATTAATATATACCTAGAGCCTGAGTGACCTCTGTTTTCATAGGAAAAAGACCTTATGTTGGATAGTTGATCCTCCAAAATAGAGGTCACTCAGGCTCTAGGTATATATATATATATACATAATTATTATATGAAACTATATTCCAAACGTGGATGATGTGGGTGAGATATGGCAACTGTCTGCCGATCAGGCCAGGCCGGATTTGAGGCTCAATCTCTCCCCCCCCCACCAGTGCTGTTGGACCAAGTGCTAAGTAGACCCCGATCTCACTGATCTCATGTCCGTTCAGTTTGGGCATTTTCCCGGACTCAGTGATATGAGGTGCTGGAGATGCTCCATAGTGGCGCCAATATGGCCATTCACCCCCCAACTGACCTGTAGCCCTCCGCTGGGTCCGGAAAGTATATCAACCGTCCGCACCCGATCGTCCCGGACAGTTGATGAACCAAAATGGTTTCCAAGCCCTAGACTTCCAAGACCATAAAGAAAAGGTTGACCTAGTTCTTGACATGTAGTGTAATAGTGTATAATCCTTAGTTGATTCGGTAAAGCCCACTGAATTAATGGTTGTTGGAATCCTAGGGAACATGGTTTCCAAGGGTTGCCTTCCGTTCGTGTATCGATACATATACTTGACCTGGTCGACTGGTCATGCTTAGCGGGGGCGGGTTCCCCCCGCTCGGCGGGGTTCGAGCCCCACCGGCATGGACCTGGCAGCGTTGTGGACGATTGTCCCACCTTGATTGTCCTCGTTCGACCAAGAGAGGTTTTTCACAGCCCGTCTTGTCGCCCAACCCATACCTACAGAAGTTAAGTGACCGTAAATAGGACCCTATAGGGGTACCTATAGGATAGTTAGGGTTCTTCAACCTCTGGTATGTACCACTACAGGGTCCTATATGGTCAACCTCTCTTGGTAACGGTTTTCAGCTGGGCACAGAATCGGAAAAGACGAAGCCCACGTGGCCCTGGGCACGTCGTGCGCGCTTCCCATGGATGGTGACCAGTGAAAATGACGAAGTGCACACAGAGCTGATACAAACCCCACACTCCATAAAACTGCAAGATGTGCCAGTCCTGAATTCAACCACCCCAGATCAGCAAATATGCCATAGACATCCATATTCTATAAGCTATGCCCATACTTGATGGGTATTATAGGGTTGGCGCTTCGGATGCGACTGCGGGTTCCAGCATAATCTCATGACACAGTGAGGGTTCTCACAAGTTCTCACCAATCCCGATCCCAGACACGACCGATGTCTGTCATATATGCCGCCCCATTGACCCCTCTGGCACCACCCCAATGTGGGCATATATGGCATACATGGAGTGTTTGGGGATTGGTCAACTTTTTATGAGACATCTGAAGGTACCTACGCCCCACTTTGTTCGTACCTTCAAAAATGGAACTCTGAGTCATATACCATCATATAGCAAACCCCAAAAACCGGGGACTTGGAGCTCCTCGGCATTGGGAGCGGTGAAATTCCCTCGCCGGAGCTCCGAACGCGCTCCTCGCGCGGAAACGCCCCTCGCGGATGACCGAGGAGCGTACCGGAACCGGCATCAGATGCTCCGCAAGGGAGTGCCGGATTCACGGGAGATGCCCGAGCGAGTCACCTGGTTGCCTGCCTGCAGTTCAGGACATGAAGCTGGGGGAGAGAAAAAGCATGATGTAGACTGGTGTTATATGTTGTTTCGTTCTGTTTGAGCATGGTTGTCTCATGTTGTCTCTAAGTGACTTGAATCACCAAGTTACCATTTGATTTTGGTCGTTCTTGGTTTCCGGATTTGTTGTCCTTGGTTTTGCTGGGGGGAACACGGTCCTTTTTCCCAACACGGGCGCTCCGGTCCTACCGGTTGCTGCGGACGGCCAGCGTTGCTGCTACACGTCCACTCCCACTCCATGGGACTGCCAGATGAATCCATACGGCAGGGACGGTTGAAAGGGAGTCCATGTAGATCATCTTGTTCGTCAAGGCCATCGCTACAGAACCGAACAAGAAACTACGACCAGGGGCCCGAACCAAACCATTCAAAACCTGGTTTCCGCAAAAACATGGTTTTTGCATGTGAAAACCTGTGTTTTTCATGGGAAATTGGTTCGGGCCGGTAGCAAACGTCTCGCATGTGATGTTCATCCAACGTGGTCCGTCGTGTGAGTCGACCGGTACGGAGCACCCGGAGGTCCGGGTCTAGACGGAGGCCTTTGGAGGTCCATCCGAGACTCAGGATGGTGGATAAAATCTATCGGACGGCCAGCGAGGAACACGAACGAGCCTTGGAGAGGGTTTTTATCGGTGGACGCGCGCGCGCGCGTGGGTGTGTGACATTGTGTGTGTGTGTGTTCAAACAAGTGTTTCGGCCTAAAGAAAGAAAGAACATCCTGGACCCTCCAAATTTGAAAGTGGATCATGACCAAGAGACCCCAAACAGTGTGTCGAAAGGCCTAAGGTCTAGAGCTGTAGAAGCAGGTCTAGAGATCTAGGCGTGTTGTGGTGACGGTGGCTCCGCCGCTCCGTTCTCCACCTGCCACGAAAGTGTCCTTCGCGCCCACAAAAAGTCACCAAGTCCAACAGAGGTACGACTGGACCCATGTTCCGAGGTACTGAGACTTCAGGTCTTTGAATCTCCACATTCATTGAACGCCGCGGGTGGTATCCCCACTTGCTGCATTCATTGCCACCGGAGACGGGAGACGGGAGACGTCGACCTTGGCTGCTTGCAAAAGGCTTGAATTCATGGGGTTAGTGGTTTGACTGCTCCAATATCCACAGAAAAGATGGAGAGGTCTTGGGAAATGGGGTGGATGCGAGCCTTCAATAGCACCTTGTCCTCTTTCAAGATGGTCTAGACGAATCTATGGCCCGCGCTCCTAGGATGCAGGAAGTTCCTGAAAGCACTGGCCATCTTGAGCGTTGTGCTGCGTGAATGCTTGGAAGAGCAGCTTGGACCGAAGGACCGGGTTGATGACCCACCTGGTTCTTCAGTTCGTGACCGTCCGGTCACATCCTGGCTGGTTCGGTCACAAAAGGGCCTGTAATAGGTCACATAAGGGGGAGTCCAAAAAGGTCACTCTGAGCCGGAGAAGGGTCATTTTTGTTGAATCAAAGATGTCCTGCACCCGCTTGGAAACCCCTGCTTTGTTGAACTTGCTATTTCTGTTCATGAAGAGTGCTGGTCATTCACATGACGTTCGGTGTGTAAAGCTAAGTAGCTAGAATTTATACATAAATATATATATATAACTGGTTCACTACCAAAATCATCAAAATCTACCGAACAACCATTGTTTTACCTAAATTGCTTACAAACCCGGTCTCTTCCATTCTCTTTTTCGTCTAAGACCTAAGACCTAAGACTAGAAGAAGAAACCGAGTCTTCTGACACTCCGGTGTGGGGTTTCTTTCAGAAGAGTTTCGGGGTGAGACGGCGACGTGAGGCACTCGGATCCAGCAGTGTCCCAGTGTCCGAATTGGACGGGACAGGACTAGCTTCGCCTGGTTTCAGAGGTGAGACATGGCACAGACCTCAAGATGTCCTTTACAGGGGGGGTTCATATAAACCACCGACATTGGAGTTTGTGCCATCTACTCTCAATCCACTATACTAGTGGCTGCTTGTTCAACTCACGGAGGAGTGGTCAATGGAGATGTATAAGTATTGGGTGCTTCCAACGGCTGCCCAAAACAGAGCGGCCGAATGAAGTACATGTTCTTCGATCCATTTCGATCCCGCGATCTCAGTTCGGAGGAGCTCTAGGAGATTACAAGCGAAATGACATATCCCAAACACTCCATGGGACTGCCATATATGCCGATCAGTTGGGGTGGTGGTTTGAGGGGTCAATGGGGCGGCATATATGACAGACATGGAGTGTCTGGGTATGTTGGTTTTTGGTAGATCCCTAAGGGATCGCACCCTGGAAGACGATCCCGAACCTGAAAGCCCCTGGTTGGTAGAGGTTTCCATCGTCTTCCACGGGACCATTGTCAGGGTCTATGTGAGTTTTCGGGAGTGTATACTTGTTGCATGCCAGCAGTTCGATAGAGTTGGGTGCCGAACAACGAACGGAGGACGTCGGGGCCCATCTCCATCACCGGCCCCGGCGGAAGGGACTCCAAGGCAATTCCCTTGGAACTGCTGGTGGTTGGGAGATCCCGTTTTCGTCGTTGTTCTCCCAAGTTCCCGAAGCTCTTATCCAGGACCCACCCGTTTTCGTCTTTCCACCGCGACGCGGGAAGACGGAGGCTGTTGGGCGTCATGCTCCAGAAGCTCTCACCGGGCCTCCTGAAGTTCGGTCGGGTGGGTGCCAGGGGGGTCGAATACCACCGAACCTGAGGAGATGGGTTGGAGCGCTAGGGTTGCGTCATCTATCATCTATCATTATGTGATGAGAGCTCAGTTGGGTGTGTGCTTTTTTGTCCCTAGGCTCCAGACGTACCTTTTCCAGAAGGTATGACTGGACCCTGCTGGCACCCACCCCAGTCCCACCTTCGAAACGAAGCCACGACCCCATAGAGGGTCAAGGCCAGGAGCCTGCACCCTGGTAGGTGGAGCCGGCTCGGGTGTGTGATGCTGGCGCGCCCAGGACGCTGATGAGAAAGCTGAACCGGATTGGCCACCAGGCGATGGCATCGCTCTCGCGCTGCTCGCGGCCGGTGGACCGGTATAGAGTCAAAGATGCGGTGGAGCGGAGGAATTTCAGTGGGCCATGTAAGGCCTCTGGTATGGAGTCTTTTGGTTCTTTGGCTGAAAAAACAACTATATAGAAGCGATGCACTTGTTCCTAGTAGCTTCTTGTTCCTAGTAGTAAGGCCAGGAGCCCCTAGTAGCGTCCTTGCTCCTAGAAGCGATGCCCTTTGCTACTAGTAGCCTGGGTCGTAGAGATGTGAGCCACAGAATGCCATACATGTAGGTCGAATGGTCAAAACGATTGCCGAGATCAAACTGAAGATGGGGACGAACCATTTGCACTATGCATGGGGACGAACCTGTAGAGACTAAAGAATTAACGCGCCACCTGAAGACAGCACGAGCATGGCACCGATTCATTAAAATATCCATGCTTGATGAAGGCCGGACAGAAGGGCAAATGCGAGAACCAAAAAACCGAGCATGGAGCTCCACATATGTAGTCTTGTGCCCCAAAACATTGACCTAATGCAGACATGGGAGCTGGAGGAAAGAATGAATTTCCATGCACAGGGCCAAGGTGTTCCTTGTTCCGGCAGGAGCCACCATATTAGATATTGCCGCATGGCCAGATAAGCAGGTTGTCCAAGCGAAGCCACTCAGAGCATTAAACACCACCATGTCATTGCTAGCGCCCCCAACTGCCAAAGCACATGGCAGAGAGACGCAGTGAGAACGCTCACCCCGATCCTGTCAAAACACGAACGGCGCTCGCGGTCATGTATTTTAAAATATTGGCGTGGCATGGTGCAGACATGTGCAGACCATTAGTTTTAATCTGACCATCAATTGGACGCGACGTCGTAGAACATTACGCAATTTGGGGTCTTTGCTCTGGCCAAGACTGAAAGGCAGGATTTTCAAAGCCTGAGGGCATCATCATGATCATCATCATCACCATCATCATCAGCTGCTCATCATTATCGTCATCATCCGGTGTGAACCCAGCATTTCAATGCCAGCCTTGATCAAAAACGCCTTCATGAATTTGGATGATGTGACAACAGGTTGACCAAATTGAGAGAAAGGCTGATGACAAAGATAAAGCGGACGTTGCCTACAAGGCAAGGTGTATGAAGAGGTCCGAACAGAAGTGCAGGAAGCAAAGAACATATTTGAAGCTTCCCTCAATGCCGCACTCTCTAGGAACACAAGAAAACATTGCAACAAGGATTTCGCAACAGTTTGATGAAATCAAAACACTGCTGGCACATCAGCAACTACTCAAACGAAAGAACAAAGAGGATTGTACCACAGTAATGCAACTCAAAATAACTTGACTGACCCGTATGTGGATGCTATTCCATCCCGCTTGCTGGACATGGTTGCACATTGAACTAAACTAAACCTTTAATGGGTTTATGACGTTAACTGACGTCATTGTGAAAAATGGTGCTGTTGCCTTTTTTTTGGTGGGTAGCAGTGGTAGCAGATCAGCAGCGGTTTGATTTTTGTGTAGATGGTGACGTCATATATATATATATATACATTATAGGTGTTCAGTTTCATTTGTGCAAACATGAGCGGAGGCATCAAGGATGGTCGTCGTGTGTCGGGCACAGAAGGAACATTCCACAAGCCCTATGTGGCGACGCGGATCGGAGAAGCCAAAGAACCCCAGGGGCTTCCCGTGATCAACAAACCAAGCCCTGGGGCTCCAGTCGTACCTCCTCAGAAGGTATGACTGGACCCTCTAAACCCACCCTAGAAGGTACGACTGGACCTAAAGTATTGCTTTCCTGAAGCCGCACACCCCTAATCAGAAACCCTAACGGTTGCAGACCCCTGCGAAGATGGGACCAAGGATTCTTAGGGCACATGTACCCTCCGACGAACACATCACATGGAAGTGGATCATAGTGGAAGACTCTTGCACGCTTGGAGGACTCTTTTCCTGTAGCAAACAGGGTGGCAACTGCACTTCCATGTCCTCCATGTCCGAGTGTGGAACTTCTTCGTTCCGCACCCAGGGGGTCTCCGATCCGCGCGCACGTGGTCGGCCAGGTGCAGCAAGCGCGGCCGGACGCCTTTCGCCTTGGGAAGAGTGGAGCGGAGGTGGCGACTGAGAAGGTCGAGCTGGGCAATAGAAACTTGGCAGTACCACTGGACATCTGGACCCGACTTCTAATTACCATAATACAGTGGCCCCCTAAATAGATGACCGTGGCACGGTGTCCAAGACAATGATTGGTGGGGATCTACTGAGCTCATTACTTTTCTAATCTTTTCTATCTATTTGGGGGTCTATATAAGGGACCTCAGAAAATCGGACCATGTCATGACCCGAAAAGCAAGTTAACAGGTAGAGGATCAGTAGATATCTATACGACCTGTACCCATTGGAAATGGAGGTACTGGTGCGAACTCAGGGGTCGACTCCAGGTAGGAATTTATTGTGGTTGGAACCAAACCCATTCCCAGACACTCCATGTCTGTCATATATGCCTACATTGACCCCTCAAACCACCCCAATGTAGGCATATATGGCATACATGGAGTGTTTGGGCATAGGTTCTCTCCCTGATCCGATGGCTCAGAAAAACGACATTCGAAAGCATGCTTCTTCGCGGGTCCATGACCCTCACAGCTGGGTTTGGGGACCGAAGCAACATGTGGCAATTTGAGGGTCCATGGTCGCCTTTGGGATATATATATATATACATATATAATATATATACATACTAGGGGCCCGAACCAAACCATGAAAAACACAGGTTTTCACATACAAAAGCCATGTTTTTTGCTAGGGAAAACCCGCTTTTGGATGGTTTGCGGGGCCCCTTGTATATTTTAAATATATAGTATATTGATATATTAGCACCTAGGGGCAAAAATTTCCGCCCCAGGACGAGAAGAGCCGCTCTTCCCGAAAAAGGCAAGAACTTCTGTCGAAGGGATCTTCTAGGTATATATTATATATCTTGAAGAGGGTGGTCTGCGTGAGTGTTCGGTGGATTAATCTCAAAATGCGCCAGCCCAAACCCGCTGCTGGGGACCTGACCTATGAGATTGCGACCCCAAGTCCTCCAGCCAGGTTCAGGTCTGTCCTTTGCAGCCAGGAGGAATGCCATGGCCCAGCCAGGGCAGTTAGCAACTTCCAAGCCCATCCAACCCAGACACTCCATGTATGCTATATATATGCCGATCAGTTGGGGTGGTGCCAGAGGGGTCAATGGGGCTGCAGTCCTATGACAGACATCGGTCGTGTTTGGGATTGGTGGGATGCATGGCACAGCGATGAATGGAGGACACCCATTATATCCTCAAGCTGCTAGCTGGTGCTCCAATGGTCAGTTGGTGCTCCAGAACTTGAGGTCCTTCCGAAGTCTGAATCGTTGCTCGTCTTGGTTGTTCTCGCGCGCGCTTGCGCGCGCACGGCACTTCCCGGAATGAGTCGCCCGGCGCTGAAGTTGAGCCCGCGGTCACCTGCTTGCGATCCAAGGATTTAAGTGGCTCAGCGGTACCCTCCATTTGTTTGTGAGGAAGTGCCATGATAGCCTCTCCGACGTGGATGAACTTGAAAAGAAGGTGGAGACTGGGACGAAGGGACGAAGGGATGAAGGTGTGGGGTACACACCGACGATGGACGAAGGACTTCCAGTCTGGGGTAACACGGTTGGGGTATATGTTTATGACGTGATCATGAGTTTTGTGATGTTTTGTTTGTATATCCCAGACACGACCGATGTCTGTCATATATGCCGCCCCATTGACCCCTCTGGCACCACCCCAACTGATCGGCATATATGGCATACATGGAGTGTTTGGGTATTGTTTTGTTTTATTCCTATCTGTTTTTGGGTGGCGCGCGATATTGGCCTTTGTTGGCTAGTTGTGTTTCAACACGCAGAGCAGAAACTGAATGATGAATGACCATTTTTACTGGTTCAACAGAAATCGCCATGACATCCTCGTGCAACATGGAATCTGACACACCATCAGTTTGTGTTCATCCGGTTGCAGCTCGGACAAGATACACATGCGCCAGACCATACCTCTTGTGTTGTCCTCTTGTGTTGTCAATTCCTATTTGCTAGTCCCCCTGGCTCCAATTGTTCCCTCTTCCCTCTTCAGGTCCTAACAAGTAGGATGGTGCAAAAAGAACACACCAGGAGGTGATGAGTGAAGAATAGTGAAGATGCCCAGTTCGTGAGGTGTGATGAATCTGTTCATTGCCTTTAGTGGACGGAGATCCTCTTGGTCAACGTTGGAATGAATTGAGGATGCATTCCAACGTGAAGTGGCTGTTTTGAACCTGGTGCTTGTCGGGTTGGGGGTGGCTGGTAAAACAACCATGCTGCCTTGCCATTTTCGCCTAATTAAGGACGCCTTCCTGGATGAGCTCACCAAGGCGGTTCAAGAGTTGCAGACTCTCCTGGAAGAGCTGCAGGACTTCTTCCAGCAGATTGAGGCTATGAAGAGTCATGTGGAGGATGAGTCATGCAGATCGCGCTTGGAGAGCTGGCAGATGAAGCTCATAGAGATCATCAAGGAAGAGCTTTTGACGCTTGGTGAGTGAAACACGTACCCTCCGGCAGATGAACCACATGGACCCTGTAGCAAGTTTTCAATAGGTGGGCCAATGAGAAGGAGTGCTATACCAGGGTCCATGTGTTCCGTGTTCACGATCGACGCAAGAAGCAAGTCGTGAGACCCAGGAAAAGTGGGATCACCTGGCAAAACCTTTCCCTACGGATCCAAGTACCTTCTCAGAAGGTGTTTGGGGTGGCTGTGGAGGCTCCAAGTGCCTTCTGAGAAGGTACGACTGGATCCCTAGGGTTTGTTTTTGAATTGGGAACGCCCCATCTTTCACGTTCCAACAGGTGGATGTTTGTTTGGTGACACAGAAGACCAGTGAGTGTGTCACACCGCGACTTCGCCGCCTCAAAACCAGTGTGACAGAAGGAACAGGTGGAGTTTGGTGAACCTTTAATGTCCAGGGAAAACGGAAGTACCAGGAACCCCAACCAAACCATGACAAAATACAGGTTATCAATGGTTTTCATATACAAAAACCATGTTTTTTGCTAGGTAAGACCAGGTTTTGGATGGGCCATGTGGGGCCCTGGTAGTCAGTCGTTTTCAAGTCGACGGACCACTCCACTTCGACTTTCCGGGAGCTGCCGCTGTTGTTTGACCTGACCTGTCGATCGGGATGGGACGAACGGGAGGGTCAGAGGGTCACATGAGCCACCCGGACTTAGCAACAGAGATTAAGTGACCTGAACTAGGACCCTACCAGGGTACCTATGGGATAGTCTATAGGGTCCTTCAACCTCTGTTGGTCGTAGCGATGGCCTTGCAAACACGATGGCCTCCAGCGTGCGTCCTTGCCCCTATAGTAGAGATGCCCTTGAGGTTCTGCACTTCTGGAAGAATATGAAGGATATGGTTCTGCACTTACACAGCTTCACCACTCACATTCCAAGGTTATATCATATCAATATGGTATCATATGTATGATTATCTAACAAGTTGCTCCAAGCTGTCGGGGCTGCCCTGCCCTGGCGATAGGGGGGCAAATCCCACGAAAGACCAGGAGAAGCATCAAAGCAGTTGATGTTTCTTCTTATGATTTTTTGGCTCATCGCTCAGGGCCTCAGGGGCTTGTTTTGATTGATTCCTGAGAGCCGATCAGACCCTGATTGCCATATATCGCAATCCACGCCTTTCTACGATTGGCTACAAATAGTCTGTAGTGCTATGTAGTGCTTGTGATCTTTTTCTACCTTTTCTACCACCAGGTTTTGGTAGTGGTCGGTTTCAATTAAAAAGAAAGAATGGCAAACAAAAAAACAGTGTTGCCCTTGAGGTCTAGAAGTGTAGAAGCAGGTCTAGAGATCAAGAACTGGTCATTCCAGCTTTGGAACCAAACCAGGCGACTTCAATCGCTCCTACCCAGAAGGGCCCAAGACCAAACTCCCAGAATGCTGTGGATTGTTCTTCCAATTGGAGTCTCACCAGAGGTCTGTCCAGCTTGACGATGACTTCGGTGAAGGACATGTCTTTTTCGGATCACTTCAAGTGACCCTAAGAATCCAGGGCCGGAGCCATAAGGATAGGGAACGGCTTCCGCCGGCTCGCCCTTGCCAAAATCAGGCAAGGCAAGGGCATCCGTTGGACGCCCTCCGGTCGTGTCAAAGCGAAAAAGCAGGCCTTTTTCCGGTCCAGAGTGGTGATGGCGGCCCCATTGGACCCGGCCAAATCCCATCCATCAGCGTCCTCTCGCTAGGCTCCACCCAGAGGGTGCTGAAGTTGGACTCCGTGGGATTGCCTGCAACTTCCTCGAGCTTCCAAGTGATCTCCAGGCCGGGAGCTTTTTTGGGTGGGAGTGGCGTTTTGTCACCTATCCTAAACGCTCCATGGGACTGGCATATTTATCCATACATTGACCCCTAAAACCATCCCAATGTGGGTCAATATGCCAGTCCCATGGAGTGTTTGGGCATTGTTCGGTGCTCTCAATTATACCTGGACCTGTTGGTACCTCGGAACATGGAGACAAGCAGATGTCCCAGTTTCTAGGGTACTTTGAAGGTTCCAGGTCGGTGGTTCATGTGTTTTTCTTCTTCTTTGTCCAAGCGCATGTACCTCTCCCTGTGATGTTTTGAGTCTTTGCTTGAAGCCGCGCAGACTGCCACGTGCGAGCACACAGACTTCCTTCTTCGAATCACGAGTCGTTCCGTTTTGTGGACTGGCGTCCTTCATACAGACAGGGGCCGGGGTGGTGGTGTCAATGTAGGGGTCTGTCTGGGGCGGCATAGTTGGGGCGGCATATATACCATACGTGCAGGCTTTGGGAATGGCACTTCACCAACTGTGCATTGAGACAACAACACCCACTGACCCAGTGGGGTCCCCAACCTGAAAAACACATTCGACATTTGAAAGATGACGTGCACCTGGTTTTGTAGTCTAAACTTCTTGGTAGAATCAGATGTTGTTGTTGGGTCATGCCCATCAAATCAATTGTAGTTGGAATACTGCAATAGAGTCTGTATTATTGTAGAGGGATGAATAATTAGTTCATATCAGTTCCACTATAGTTTGTATTAAAGCGACGTCCATGCGTTTCTGCTTTCGTCCCACCTCTTCCAAACCCGCCTAAACCGACGCCAACGCCGCAGAAGCCGTCCGACTGACGTCGGGTGCGGACCGCGACGTGACCGCGACCGCGCGGGGGCCGGAGGAGCAGATGTTACAAGCCGGTTACGCCTCACCCAGCTGCGTGAGGGACACTGCAGTCTCTGAACAGAGTGAGCCAGATTCTCGGGCCGATATAGAGATGGGTTTGTATCGTTAACGGCTCGGTGAGTGACTGTGTCACTCGGGTTCGTTGGTCGTTTTTTGTGGCAATATCCCTTGTTGCTGGGTGGCACAGATGATCCCTGGATGCATGGAAAGCAGAAAATATGCCCTTTCCATCTAGCTGGGTGCCAGCTTCTTCAAAGCTTGACCTCTTTGAAGTCCCCGTGCTTCCAGCTGTTCCAGGCCTGGCCTTCGTGACTGAACCAAGCAGGATATCAGGGATGGTCACGAACTGAAGAGCCAGGTGGTTTTCGGTTGTGACAGAGGTGTGGCTCAGGATGAAGGTGGAGATACTGAGGTCATGTGGTGGGTGAGGTTGCCGCGGTTTTCAGTCAAAAGGGACAAAAGTGACAAAATCGATCAAAATATGTTGGTGGTTATCTTTCAGGGCCAAACATGACACTCTGTTGGGGTCCAAGCCTCGAACCCTCATCCGCTACAGTGCGAATCGACTGATACCTGGTGGTCCAACCTCCCAGTGGTTTCAGAGGTTCGATGCCACAATCCCCCCTGGCGAGGTTCATCCAAACCGAGCGGCGAAGCAGTGAACCAGACATGAGCCGGGCCCCTCATTCCATGACCATAATTTCATTGTTGCTTTTAAATGTGTTCAATAGAACTGTTGACCCACTTGGTTTTACGGTAATCATGTTCCAACCTGCATGGTTTCGTTTTCCGTCAACCTTCAATGGTCGAAGGCGGATGGCTATGGTGTCAAAAGCCGTTCCAGCTGAGGCGCATTGACACAAGTCCGTGTTCGTGACACGTCTGTGACACGTCTACACAGATGACACGGTGACATTGCTCGTAAGCCCGCTCAATAAGAGGCTCAGCATTTGCATGGCGTTTTCTGACCGTTCGTCAGGTTCCCAGGTGGTTGGCCACATGGTCCATTCAACACTGCTCCAAGCGAACAACACCGCTCGATTCAACCACTGCCTGTCGTACGGTTGGAGTCATTGGTGTGAGTCACACCGAAGGGGCTGCGGAGGCGATATGCTTTGATCCAGGAGACGCTGGGTCAATCGATGTCTAGGGTATATGCTTGTAGAAACAAGTGCCTTCCTAGTAGTAACAAGAAGCTACTAGGGGCTCCTGGCCTTACTACTAGGAGCAAGAAGCTATTAGAAACAAGTGCATCGCTTCTAGTAACAAGTGCCTTACTAGTAGTAACAAGAAGCCGATGTTTCACCGTGTTGTGTGTGTTTATATTGAAATAGGGAGGCCGAACCAAAGAACCCGAGAGGAGAAATAGGTTCAACACTCCATTGGTTGGGGGTCTCCCTATCAAATACACACCCATATATGTTCCTGAAATCGTCCAGTTACTCTCAGTTGGCGATGTTCGTTCTTGGGATGCACATGCCTCATGACATGACATTGAGATGAAAAAACAGGATTAAATTAAGACTGAAGACCAACGTTGGAGGCTGCCTTTCACATGAACACAGGAAACTCTGTGATGACCGCAAGTGACTTTGTGATCAATTTGCTTCAATAAGGTTCTCATGCAATGTCAAGCAGGGAAAAAGGTTAGGAATCTTAAGGCAGACTGAGGGAAACTTTGGCTTGTCTTGCTGTTTGACCCACAGATACATCTTGGATTATCGCCGCGGCTGCACCAAAGGAGGGGTTGGTCTCAGTGTAGTGCATCAACAGTTTATCACCACAAGTTTGTTTCATGTTCTATCTCCCATTCCCATCCCATATCCCTCAGAGCGGCCTGGTCACGACAATTTTGAAGACTTCCCCTCCTTCGTGGTGATTTACGATTTTGTTCAACAAGAATGGTCCATGCAACGAATTTTGTGAGTCTGAAACAACTGGGCTTGGCAAGGAGGCCGGACCCCATGACTGACAGGGTGGCCGGGCAACTTCTGGCCGAATTGGACAGTTTGTTAGCTAGAGGTCTTCTCAAGCATAATTTCAGCTTGAGGTCTTACACTTCAGGGGCGTAGGTCACATGTGCGCAATGAAAAGTAGTTACACGAGATTGTGCCTGAAAAGGTTTGCTTGTGTTGCTTCTACCAACACACACACACACACACTCGGAATGGAATGCCACATGCCACACGCCTGAGCATCCTGGAGGTCCAATCAAAGAAAAAGAGAGGCCCAATCTCAAAGTCGATGATCGCGATGCGACAGGATGACGACGGACGTACTCAGTCGCCGCTGAAGAACCGCTGCAATGGCTGGAAAATTGTTCTAGTTACCACGGGACTAATTGGGAAAATATATGGGACAATTTCTGGTAAAGCTGCAGGTACGTCTGGCTGATCAGGCCAGATATCAGCACGGAGCTTGACCCTCTTCGTTGGATCAGCACTCAAATCGGTGGGTGAACCGCCTGCAAACCTTTAAAAATCAAAGGTTTCCCTGTGACTCCAAGAGCTTCACACACACACACACACTTCTTTTTTCCCTGGGTTAGAGCGGTCGAGACGCAGTGAACACGTCTCCGATACGAAGACGAACACGGCACATGTGGGCACCGGAGTGGGCACCGGCCCTTTCAGTTGAAAGGGCTTGGCCGCGATTGGCGGAACCTGTGGAGTTCATAAGGCTCATTTCCAATCATTTCCCATGTTGAGCAGTACCAGGCTATACCATGGCTGGCTTTTGGTGGTTGAGCAATGCTTAGCTTGCGGGAGGGTGCTATATATGGTGATTCTTGATCAGACTAACGACTTAATGTTCATTGCCCAGCAGACTCCCGTGGACCTTCTCTCCCGCTCAGGGACAGTCGCTGGGGAACTGGTCGCTGGAAGGTCTAACATGTCAACCAAGTATCGGATATATTGTACCAGGACCCTCCTGTTGAGGTGTCTCTAAGTAGCCTTCTAAAGATACTTTTAGAGGTCCCAAAAAGGTGCCAAAACCTTCGGTCCTGGTATGTGAAGTAAGGACAAATGAACCTCCGACCGAAAGACCTCATCCCACGCATGTTTTTTTCCACGATTCCCCCGAAAGGGGGGTACACAGCGTGGAATCTCACTCCTCGAGTCGTACAGCGTGGAATGGGCGCGGCGCAGCGAGCTGTCGGGTCGCGCAAAAGCGACGCACAGGGAGCGAATCGCCGGTCTCCCCAGGGTGAGTGAAGTTGACCTCCCCGAGTCTAAGTAGACCTGCAGAGGAATTCCCCATAATTTCCCAATGTGAATGGTGGACAGTTTGGTGGAAGTCTCAGACCTGGTGCACCTGTTTTCAGAGTCCATGTGGTCCTTTGCAGGAGGGGTAGTCTATTCTGTTCAAGTTCTTGGGTGGCTCAAAAGATGACTGGCGGCCAATCAGGTGGGTTTTTAAATTCAGACCAAATATCAACCCCTAATGATCCACATACCTTCCTAGAAGATACGACTGGGCCCTCCAAACCTACATAAATAGTCTTCCAATCACCGTGCCTCAGGTTCGATATGTGGATCCATAGGGCATGCTGTTGGAGTTTTTGGGTTGTGTCAAGACTTCATGTTGACGCATGATGAATAATCCCTCCCAGAAGGTGTACTACTTGGGGATTCTGCGGAACCAATCATGAGGCAATTGTCAAGACTAAATTTATTCATGAGAAGATCTCCATTCTTCAGGAGGGAGCCTAAAGACATCTAAAGACCAATGAGTTTCTAATTGAAGGGGTTGAAGAAAGGGACTTGACTGTTAGTATGGCAAAAGAGATAGCCCCACGAAAGGTGGACCAAACCAGATCAAGCTAATTGGGGGTCACTGCATGGCTTTTGCAAAAACAGGTTTTAACGGCGGCTAGTATTGGGCAAACGAGGCGGACCAGACTAACAGGGCGAGTTGACCTGGCTTTGTCGTCTAAAACATTCTAAAACCTTTGTATATATCCTTTTAGTATAGTATATCATATTCAAGTGTTTGTTTGTCAAAAAGGCACAAAACAAACTAAATCAACGGTGCTTGAAATCCTCAAAGCTTCCTAGGGCTTACATTGATCAATGGTGTTTCATCGATTATGTTTTCACCGGCCGTCTTACCACTTTCAACGCGCATCGCCAGGTGCGGCACGTGCCAAAGGTGGTCCGGCAAGCGCGGCCTCAACGGCGGCAGGCGCGGTGCGCGCGGCTCAAGCGGGTTCGGTGGGTTGGTCCGTGAGAGGGTGGTGAAAGTGAACGTCGCATCAAAACAAAGGTTTGGGGGTCAATGGGTTGATCTGATAGAGATGGCTCAGGAGCTAAACAAACAAGACCAAACTAGATGTAGAAAGTCATAGTAAGTCTATATATGTTCTTCTTGTGGACCACTTCGGATGCATGATTCCTACAATATCGTACAATTGAAAAGACCGCACCACTGTGACTTTGAAATAAGACCCTTTGGCTATCAAGCAGCAGCCCACTATTTGATCATGGATACGAGCAGAACCCACTACCACATGTTTTGTCGACTGTATCATATCATCATATCACTTCTTGTGTGCTGCTTTTTGTTTTCACATGCTGTGAATTCCCACATGCTGTGCGTTTTGCTGGCGTGTTTAACATGCTGTGGGACCGTCGTCAAGCAGGCATTGGCAACTGACTGGAGAAGATCACAGCGAACGTGACGGTCCTACGGTCATTTCAGGGACATCTTTCACTTCGCTTGGGGCACCCAAAATGAAGTCCAATTGACATATGTTCCACCATGTCAAGTCCCTCAAAATGGTTTGTGCACTGCTACATGTCACATTCTGAACTTATGGTTACATGATTACATGTGCGCAAAATCGTTGCTTGTCCGATGGTCCAGGCTACTCAACTCTGATCACCCTTAAAGTCCTCTTGAATTCTGGTTGTCTTTCTCCCAAAGCCTACCAACCATATTCCTAACATCCGCTCCCGCATCCGCTCCCGCATCCGCTCCCGTTGGGACCAACCACGTCTTGGGATCTGTCACCGCGGACGCTTCCAGCCACAGGGGACCCGCTCGATCAACACTCCGACCGATACGACCCCTCTGACCGAGTCGCGGCCGCTGAACCCGCCGCTGAAACAGAGTGCTCACGGAGTGCTCGTTCCCCATGTGGGCGGCAAACACGGAACGAGGCGGTCGTGTGACAACAATCTGCCAAAATTGACCCCAACAAACATCTCAAAACCACCTCAATGTAGGCAAATAGATGGTAAATCTTCCAGATACCTGGATGTTCCTCAGGCAGTTATTTCTGCCTGAATGGTTTCAGGCTGTTTTTTCTGCCCGAACCTCAGATTTCCGCCTGAGGCAGAAATTTCTGCCCGAAGGCAGTTGCAGAAGTTCAAAATTTGTAAAACACATCAGTGCCAAACAAAGTCATGAATCATGATTACAACATATTACAAAGCAGGGTGTTCGGGTAAATCCGCCCGAATGCCGGGAAGTTCCGCCCGAATGCCGGGAAGTTCCGCCTTTTTGAAACCCCAGAAATTCTCTATTGTTTTACATGTAGACCTGTTTGAGCTTTGCAGTTTGCAAATTACGGCTCGAAGCCACCTGATTTGGAAGATCCGCCCGAGGGCGTTTTTTCTGCCTTTTTCGTAGAAAGGCAGATTTTAAGCAAAAGGCAGATATTAAAGCCCGTTAGAGGATCTAGGTATTCCTCTCACAAACTCGAGGTTGAGGAGTTTGTGGACATTCCGGTGCCTCAGCAGGTGGAGGAAGTGGTCCAGGTGCACTGGTCGAATTGGCTGGTTTGGCACGGAGGGCGAAGACTTCGGATGCCTCAGTAGCGACCGGTTTGGCCGAATATTCCTCGTTGGGCGGGTTCAAAAGAGGTGGCAGGATGTGGCAGGGGTTGGCTGGTGGATGGATCTGTTTTCTTTTCGTGTCTCCTCTCTTCTCCTCTCTTTTTGTGTTTTTTCTTTTCTGTGGACATGTAGACTGTGCGTGGATTCCGTGGATGCTGAATCTTCAGCAGATTTCGAGTCCTAAGCTCGCTCCGCCACTGCGCCAGAGGTCAAGAAGTTGATCCCTCAGGACCTGTCGTGCGGGTCGTGCGTTGTGCGCTGAGTCGATGGGCTTCGCGCTGCGCCACGGAGTTCGCCACGGCCCATCCCGGACTGACCGTTCGTAGACTGACCGTTCCGTAGCCTTCCAGCCCTGGGACGCGACCCGAAGAAATCATGTAAAACAGGTCGTCCGACTGGTTGAAAAATACCAGGTACGAACTGAGACTCCAGCTAGACATGGTGAAGAACAACGGCCTGCAGCGCAAAAACCGGTGTTTCTGACTCTTTGGAGCTTGCAGACCGAACGGAATGGAATGACAAGCATGGATGCTGTTGCACATTTGTTGTTCGTGTCATTCGCATTGGAGTTACACTCATTGGAGTGGATGCTTCTTCGGCAAAAGCACATCCCGACACAAGTCATTCCACTGCAGGACATAGATTTGCTCAAGGGTAAGAAGCAGCAGCTGAAACAAGATCTGAAGGAAATCAGCAAGACTGTGACTGGTGCTTCAATGAACACATGCCTGCCCTTCATTTCTGCCATCTATTCCTTCCATTCCTTCCTTCCAATCATTCCTTCCAGTCATTCCTTCCACTCATTCCTTCCACTCATTCCTTCTCTTCATTCCTTCCACTCATTCCTTCCATTCATTCCTTCCATTCATTCC